TATATTTTATAGCTTTATTTCATACTGTTTGGCAGCGTACCGCGAAAGAGCAACTCAATGGCCAGATTTTCTTTGACTTCAATTAAAGTATTTTGATTTTTGACGATAAATATATTTTTATCGAATTTATTAATACCCTGTAGCTATGAAGTAACTAAGTAGCTTACTATTAGTGAAAGAATTTGCAGAATCGGATTACTAGTTCCAGAGATTACTCCGTACATTCAAACATAGTAACTTGCATACTTTATCTCTTTATAATATTAGTTTTACCTCTTAACAAATCAATTTATATAATAAATATGTCCTTGCATATCTAAAACAACATCTTAATTATTATACTCGGTCAGTATTCATTTAAGTACTAAGATAAAAAGTTGACAATTGTGAATTGACAGGCTCGTTTGAGAAAGGTTGCAGGTTACAAGTTTTATGTCTTTTAAATAAATTTGTTTTGTTATAAGAAATCAAAATTAAGGTCTTGCTTTTAAGATATTATTGATATAGTGTTAACTATCTTTTCTAATTATCTTAATAATCTTATTAACACGTACTTTGGTCAAGCAAAATCATTTCGTTTTACTCTTTATAGACGAAACATGTCGTATAGGCTGATGGTAAATTACCTTTATGCATAATATTCCTATTAAAAGCCATTCACGAGTTAACTAATGTTAAATGAAAGGCACCTGTAAACAGGCTTTATTAAAATGGACATGCGATGTCCGAGTACAGTACACTTTGTTGTTCACTGATCTAATCATTTAAATTATGACAGCGTGTGTTTTCCTCAAGGTCCGCGTTGTCTCTATAGGTGTGAAGTTTTCTTACTGTTCCTTCAGTAAATTGATGGCTTAAGTGTTATCGGTTACTTGAACAAATATTGTCTAAGTTTTCAAGGTAAAGTTGCAAATAAAATGTTTGTCTACACTTTTATATGTGGTGTTTAATTTGCTTCTTTAAAATCTTAAGCCGCCACGTTTCGAGTAAGAGTTTTGATCCATCTGTTTTGGTTTTGCTACTTTCATTAAATTTTTCTCTTTAAAATCTACGCTACACTTTGTATCACCAGCAATGAGTGAATCACTTCGAAAACGTCCTATTGATAATCAAAACACCAATTTAAATAGTAATTTGTAATTAAAATATTTATGACTAGCGACTCACAATCGCTTCGCTTCGGGTTCATCTTTTCCCATTCACAAAAACAAATCTATTCCACGAACCATACCTTTTCCGGAATAAAAAAATGATCTATATGCTATTCCAGACTAAAATCTATCTCTGTGCTTTCATCCAGATCTTATCAGCCGTTCTGGCGTGAAAGAAGAACCAACATCGATCCATCCATCCATCCTCACAAACTTTCACATTTGTAATACACATTAGGCTTTCAATTCGGTTCTGATATAAGTAAATCAACCTCTTTAGTAAAAATTTAAAATAGCTTTGCTACAATTACATATTACTATTAATTAAAATACATTATCTCGCATTCGTTTCTTGCTTGCATTTATTTAATAAAAACACTACTTCCTAGTCTAAAATGAAAAATACAAGAAAACTTGAATTATTAATTTTCTATTAGCCATGTTCTTAATCTTTAACTTCATATTTAAATAACGTCATAATTGGATTATTCCAATAATTTCTAAATTTTTCAAACTTTTACAAGCTCTACAGGATGTAGAGTCTATAATATTGTCCTTTTATATTTGCCAATAACGGCGTGTAGCATCATTGATATTCACCACGTGTAGGGCGGTGGTCAACCACGTGAGTCTTGCCGATTTTAACCGGATAGAACTGGTGCAAAAGCCTGCTACCATTCGTCTAGCAAGCTTCGCGGTTCGTATGACGTTGTAACATTAAGGAAGTTTCACACTTATTAGAACGAATATTATACTAATTGCTAACTTTTGTTAGCTTATATGTTGTATGTTAATGATAATAAAGTAAGATTTGAAGCTTTTTAAATTTCTAATTTATAAGGTATGTGGTTAATACGATTATTTTGTAAATTTTATTAAGTTTTATTAAGTAATATATAATTTAAAGTACCTAGTATATTTTTTTATATTATATTAAATAATATTTAGTAAAATTATGTTCAATGAATATCTTTAATCTTTAATATAATTTACAATCTATAAGGATAAATAAAGAGAATAAAATCGTAAGGTGGAATGCTTATTTTATACTTTATGTTAGTATGTGCGGTGTGCCTAATTTATTTTTATTTCGCTATAACATTAGTTAATCATTTAATTAACATAATGGAAACCTTGAAACGAGAAAAACCTCGTAAATAAAAATACCGATAATAATCTTTAGAAAAATATTTTTCTATGTTTTAAATCGTCGTAAACAATTTAAATAAATACATAAATGCAAAATGTTGTCGTAAATATTTCTAACGTACATAGTGATGGAGATTAGGGTATAAATGTATACATCTAATAAAATTCTAACTGAGTCGAATCTGTCCATTAGTTATTTTTTGGAAAATCTTACTGAAATATTCATTATTATAGATACAAAGGCCGAATCTATAGTTTTTAGAGTTTTTGTCTGTCTGTCTGTCTGTTACCGCATCACGAAAAAACCACTGGACACATTTTTGATGAAATTTGGTATGATGATAGCTGGTTATCCGGGTCAACATATAGGATACTTTTTACTGCGGGAAAATAACTCATCTCTTAGAAATGCTAAACGTAAAAACATAAATAAGGACGTACCAGAGCGGAGCGAGAGTGAGTTGCTAGTATTACATAAAAATGTATGTAAAAACATAATACTAAATTAATCATTGTACAACTGCACTTATTTCTTTAAATTATTTTTCTGAACTACATGCAGCTTTTATCATCATTTAGTCAATTTCATGTTAAAGCTTTATTTATATTTCTTAGAATTTAATCAGAAATGTGTATAGATCTCATTATAATATTTTCAGGGTATAGATACCATCGTAGTAAAAATTAGTAAACACAGTGAGAACAACTCGTTATCTAGTTATCTATTGTGGGAATACTATAACTTTATTATAATATATGAGTCACTAAAATGGCTAAAGTCATTTGTTTCAGATCTAATTGTAGACTCTTCCGGAAAAAATTGTAATATTTACTGCTGAATAAAAATTTCAACTTTTGTAAAAAGTATCGTTTTAAAAAAGAGTCCTATCCACTTTCATAACATTAAGTCGAGTCGAGGCAAGTAGTTAGTGTAGCAGTAGTTCTCTTAGTCTACATGTTAAAGGACTAGGTAATATGATAATAGACCGAAGGAGTACCTACTTATAATACTGCTACATGTAGTTTTTTTTAAAGCAATAGTGTTTGTGGTCAAGTACACGCACTACTCGGGTTTGAGTGCGAAGGTAATTATGCAAACAATATGACTTAAAATCCATACGATTTTGAGGATACTATCGTAAAATAGTACAAAACTTAATGCTCAACAGCTATAATGTAACTATTAAAAGATGTCGAAACACAGAGAAAAGTTTTGTTGACGATATGAGACTTAATTCTCAAATAGTACTTACAAACTTTATAAAAGAATCTATACCTACATATAATAAAAATCTAACCGAGTTGAATCTGTACGTTAAATATTTTTTGGAAAATCTTATTGAAATAGTAATTATTATCGACACAGAGGCCGAATCTATAGTTTTTAGAATTTTATCTGTCTGTCTGTTACCGCATCACGGAAAAAACACTAGCGGGATTTTGATGAAATTTAGTATGATGATAGCTGGTTATCCGGGTCAACATATAGGATACTTTTTACTGGGAGAAAATATCTCATCTCTGAGAAATTTATACTAAACGTTAAAACTTACTAGGGACGTAACTAGGGACGAACTCGAGCGGAGCGAGGGTGTGTCGCTAGTTGTCTCTTATAAGCTAATTAATTGGAATAGAATCTATGACGATTTGTAATATCTGAAAATTCATCAATTTAAACAAATGTTTATTATTACGTAAGAGTATTGTCTTAAATTTTTCCTCATGCGTGCAAATGAAATGCAAATAAGCGTTACAAAATCCATATTTACCTCGATTTACTACAAATTATATTTTTGTAGGTTTATTTCTATTGTGTTTAGAATTTATAGTTGTCTATAAACATAGCAAGCAGATTATTAAATATAATAAAAAAAATTTAAAGGCATTTAGTATTTTATGTATTAAAAACACTTCCACTAAATTTTTCGCACAGCTATACTGCGACCATAAAAACTAAGGAGCGAGAAGCTATTCTACATAAGACAGCATTAATTACAATGTTTTATAGACTATATTAGTTTTTATGTTCCTCCGCGGTATCTCATTCCATTCTAGTGTTAACAACGATGTGTTTTGATTAAATATTTAGATAAGGAAAACAATAACACATGACAATTAAATGAATTAAAATTTTAGTACTCATTTACGAGTACTTTGTGTAAAATGTAAATTGTAAAATAAATCAGGTATTTTATTTCATTCAATTTTAAAATGCAATTTTCCTTACTGATATCCTTATTATATAAATGACTAGCGACTCACCCTCGCTTCGCTCGGGTTCTCGGGTTCGTCCCTAGCTTGCTTCCCAATACAAAATTTGATCCCTATTTTCACCCCTTTAAGGGATGATTTCCGAGATAAAAAGTATTCTATGTTCTTCCCAGGGTCTCAAACTATCTTCTTACAAAATTTCATTTAAATCGATTCAGTAAATCCATAGATTACCCCCTACAACCTTACAAACTCGCAAATACACAATCTCACAATCCAAACTTTACCTCTTTATAATATTAAGTATAGATAAGTTCTGTATTGTAGATGTTTAATATAGCATTTTTTTAGGTCCAAGGAAAATTATGTTGCTAAGGACAACGACAGGAAACGATTGTATTATGATAAGTTATTACCAAATACGAGTTACACATAAGACAAGAAAAGATAATACAATTTTCCGGTAGTCTACGAATTTGACCTGACAAAATGGCGGGAGTGGAAAACAGGTACATTTGTCATAATACCTATATAAATAAATTTTTGCTTATTTAAAAAAAAATAATTAATAAATAAAATAATTTAAATTAAAAATAAAAGTTACTTGATTATTAGGGCAGTGTGTCGAGGGATCTAATTGCAGATATTTTTTAACTAAATTGTCTCAATAAAAAATGCAACAATATTTCTCTGAACACTTTCTATCTAACTGATAAGGTAAAAAGAAAAAGATATATAATTTTACAAATCTTTGGAAAAGTTGAGAGAAACCATAGATAACGTCCTATCCGTCGTTCATGAACTATGGTGAATTATACTTTTTTTATTATTGATTGTTTAGTTTTTACTGTAAGTTTCCTTTGCCAGGTTCACAGTTTCGACAGTAGAGCCAGAATCTAAGAAGAATGGCATACATATGGGAGCAAGCATTATCTCCCGACCTTTACGGTCTTCAGTGGAGATGGTGGAGCGGGGAGACCCAAATCCTCAACCAGACACTTGGCTTCATGATGCCGGTTGGAGGAGAAAGCGATCTCTTGCCCAACTCACGAGGGAAGCGCTACCAAGGATGGAAAATTATAGAAATTCTAAACGGGCCCTCAAAAGGCCGAGTTTAGGAGAACTACATGGAGATCACTTGATTACTGAAGAGGTAACTACTGTATATCTATTATCTATACATAAAATATAAATATTATAAGAGTATTATCACACTACGTATGAAGGCTATACGTTGAAGTGATCAGAGTGTCAGTTTACTCTAGTTTATATATATTATTATACTCCAGAAAGGCCATTCAAGTTCTCTAGAAATATTCCATTGTTGTTATGTTTTTATGCCTCCGTGTTGTAGTGGCTAGCATGTACGGCTGCACACCCGAAGGTCCTGGGTTCGAGTCCCGGGTCGGGCCAAGTTTAGTTATTGTCTTTCTGTATAAGTAAGCCTCAGTAACAGCCCGGAGTTGGGAAGTTGGCGGTGTTTCACCCCCGTGCCTCGGAGAGCACGTAAAGCCGTCGGTCCTGCGCCTTTACTCTCACTGGTCGTGTCGAGCAGTCGTCCCACCGGAATATGAGAGTGATAGGAATAGAGAGTGCACTTGTGTCTGCGCGTACACTTGTGCACTATAATATCTCCTGCGCAGTTGGCTAGTCTCAATGAGATTGGCCGCCGTGGCCGGAATCGGTCGGGAGAACATCATCAGTATAGACGGAATAAGCTATTTAGGGCGTTATATATTATCAATGAAGAATTAATACGTAAAGTTAGTATCCATCAAGTTAATGAAGAATTAAGGCGTAAAAAATTTGTATGTATAAAGGATAATTGTAATTTTAGATATATCAAACGCCAAACAGATTGACATGTTACTATCTTCCATTTTTATTACACACGGGACATATAAAATAGTTAACTATATAGTATGACATTTTTCATACCTATTTCATATAAAAAATTGCAGTAAAAACCGGCGATTAGATGACACTATTAAAGTTATTTAAAATATCGTTAAACAAAATTTATAACAATTAGGGCTCAAATTTACGTGTACAAGTTTGTTGTGTACATTACGAATATATCATTAAATGTCATAAATACGATCTATTACAATTTTAAGTACTTATATTTATTTTTCAAAAGTCATTACGGAAATTAGCTTACGAGTTGATGACGAATAGATTTATCTGCTCATTCTACTTATTGCACAAAACCTTTTCAGGTTTTTTGAATTAATTAGTGACTGTTATTTAAACGAAAACATTACGGTAAGAGTGGAGGCAGTGGGAGCCCAGTGGTAACGCGCTCGCTTGGGAAACCGAGTGAAGCGGGTTCAAATCCCGGGTCTCGCACCTCTGATATTTTCATGTGCGAATCATTTCTAACATGATTACCACTTGCCTTACGGTGAAGGAAAACATCGTGAGGAAACCTGCATGTCTGAGAGAACCTAGCAAGTTTTCGAAAGACATGTGAAGTCCGCCAACTCGCACTTGGCCAGCGTGGTGGACTATGGCCTGATCCCCTCGTATGTAAGAGAGGCCCTTGCCTAGCAGTGGGACGTTAAAAAAAAGGGCTGAATACATACACACATTACGGTAAGAAAAAATATATAGATAGGTGTCACTTGGTTATATCTATTCGGCGTGTACTTAGTCATTAATCAGAAAACGGAAGCATTTATGGAATGCGTCATTTTCTCGATGCTATTAGAAGGCTCGTTAAACCGTCAGGTTCCGGCGTGAACTGGTTAACGCCAGTGAACAGCCCTCTGGTATACTTACCCTTGTATCTAATCTCGGATATATTATGAAGTAGGTGTTAAACTCTACAGTCTAGTGCAATAGACTGCTAAGTGTTTCCTGAAATGATTGATGTTAATAAGTTGCATGTGGTTTAGTGCACTTATATCATGATAGATATGTATACGTGTAAGTTTAGTCTAGTTACGAATAACGCACGCAGCCTCTATTTTCCTTGTAGTTTGCGTATCTAGGTTACTTTGCAAAATTTTATATACATAATGAATAAAATATTTTTAACACCAAGGGCTCGTAGTAGTTATATATGTATAGTAATAGTGCTGTCTTCGTTAATATAAGGATATTTAAAATTTTAACCCTTTTAATATTTATAAAATTTATAAATAAAAGTGTTAGGCTCTATACACGTAATAAGGGTTTTGGTAACAATTTACATTTGTGATATTTGTGAATTTAATATGTTACTGCCTAAAATGTTTCCACAGCCATCAACTATTAAATGCAAACATGAAGTAGGTACCTATTGACTTCTTTGAGACGATTATCTATACTAATATTATAAAGAGGAAAGATTTGATTTTTTGTTTGTTTGTACTGAATAGGCTCCGAAACTACTAAACTGATTTAGATGAAATTTAGTAAGAAGATAGTTTGAGACCCTGAGAAGGACATAGGATAGTTTTTATCCCGGAAATAATCAGTTAAGGGGGTGAAAATGTAAGTTTGTATGGGGAAACAACTTATGAACCTAATTGTCATATTTAATTAGTTTATACCCGCGTCTTCGTTCGCCTTTGTGTAACTATATTTGCTCTGTTTCTAAGCGTCGCGTCGTAGCGTTATATTAGAGACAACCTTCCTGAATAAATAGACAAAAAAAAAAACAAAAAAAAATAAGGCCTGTATGGTATTTACGGTCATTAAACTGCTTAAAAGGAACAATATCTTTTGCTATATAACAATATTTATAATTCGGATTTTATTATATGTTTGCCATCACAGTGCCATTACTTAACTATCGGCCTTCTGTTTTTAAATATGGTACTTAAAGTTACAAATTATATTTTATTTAGGAAGCAAATCACAACGCTACTTATAATATCGTTTTTTATTTGCAATATATTTACAATGTATACAATGGCTGCCTATTATTTTTCAAGCGCAAAATGCGTAATCAAGTGTTACTAATACTTTAAAATGGGGAATTTTATTTGTAATCAATGTAAAATATTTTATTATGTTTTGTACCTTATACTTAAGTATTTTAACGTAATAATTGTTAATTAAGTTGTCGGAAAACATGCGATTGACCATGATTTCTCTCTCTCAGTGAGGGAATACCCGTTGCCAGGCAATGCAACTTTAAAAAAGGCTATATGACGACGAATTTTTTTTGTTCTTTATATTTTCAAGTTATGAAGCAATTATAACGATATCGTTCTTATTCAATATATTATACTAGTGACTCACCATCGCTTCGCTCGGGTTCATGCCTAGCTTGATTGCCCATACAAACTTTCATCCCCATGTTTACCCCCTTTAGGGATGATTTCCGATATAAAAAGTATTCTATGTCCTTTCCAGGGTCTCAAACTATCTTCTTACCAAATGTCATCTAAAATGTTCAGTAGATCCAGAGATTACCCCCTATAACGTCACAAACTGACAAACTCACAATCTTTACCTTTATAAAATATTAGTATAGATTATACCTAACTATTGTACTTATAATATTTTTATTATATTATAGGTAGGTACATTTATTATATTTTTTATTATAGTATTAATTTGGTAATTTTTATGACTAAATAAACTTTATTTAATCATTTTTGATGAATGTAAATAAAAATTAAGAAGCAAGTGAAGGATGATAAAATAATGCAGTAGGTAATTTTATCTGTTTGAGTCCACTAACTAGTTAAGAAAGTCACTTTTGATGACGACATTTAAAAACATTTTTATAATTATCCAATTACTATTATTAGCAAGGATAGATAAGTAGAGTGTCCTCGATTTTCTTAGTGTGTAAGTAAATCTTTTAACTGTTTACCTGTTTTTTATATTATTTACGCCTCTATGCACTTATATCTAAAAATGCAATCATTAATTTTTAATTTTCATTTAATCTACTTTAATAAACATAAAATATTTTTTGCGTACTTAAAAAAAAAAACAAATTCACAAAATATAAAAAAAAACTAATATTTTTTGAGTCTACATCACTTTTTGAGTCATATATTTTTTCATCATATCATAGTTCATTGCGATTTGAGTCATATATAACCATAACCGTATATCTAATAGGAGAAATAGCGTAATTACCATTGCGCTAGTACGATCATACATTATTTATTGCTCACATTCGCTTACAATTTCAATCGTCACCTCACCATAATGGTTCTGTCATGGTTTAACTTTACGAACAGACGGTATCCATCATCTTCACAGTTGTTCACATCGGTCTATACATTTTCTATCTAAGTATATCACGTTTATGAGCTAAGATAATCTAGTATTGTTATACTCGTGAGTATGTGATAATTATATTTATCAAAGGAAAATCGTAACGCACAACTGATTCAGAATTCATTTGATTATCAAGTTTAGAAACAGGTTTTTTTAACTTACAATAAACGTCAAAGAATTAATTCGAGGTAAAATTTAAATTCATTAATATCTAGATATAATAAACCGTCAGTGATTACGGTTTATAGGTAAATAGGTGAGTAAAACAATAGATCGATCAATATTTTGTGAAAGATATTTTACAAAAATTATTATGCATAAATACAAGTACTTACAGTTAAGAGTAGTGAAATTAATTACGAACTTCTCCAGATTTAATTGATGTTTCAAAAGGCTAAGCTTTTAAAATTAGTACTGCACTATTTATAAAATTGTAATTCAGATTCAGGGTCTATATTTACTTATCTACCTATTTATTTGTTTTAAAAATAATAATTTGTTTCAGGACGAAAAAGAACAACAAAATAAACAAAGAGAAACAAAATCACCTACTCCGGCTGTTGGTATCAAATTAGGATGGATTCAAGTAAGATCAGATACATTTTTATGTAGAGTTCGAATAAATGTTAAATATTAAGTTTAGGTAATGTTTTAGGGTGTGCTGATACCATGTCTACTGAACATATGGGGTGTGATGCTGTTCTTGCGCATATCCTGGGTGGTGGCGCAGGCAGGGATAGGATTATCATTAGTTATAATTGCAATATCTGCGGTAGTGTGTGTTATAACCACACTCTCGATGAGCGCTATATGCACAAATGGAGAAGTCAAAGGAGGTATGTATAAAAATATTGTTTATAACTTATATAAATTCATAAACAAATATTATATATATATATATATATATATATATATATATATATATATATATATATATATATATAGTATTTGTTCAAGGAAACGAATAAATTTGTTTACTAACAAGTAGAAATAATAAGTACAGATTTATGTAATTTGTGTAGTAAAATTTTAACGACGTATTATACCATTGTTTTTTATTATACATGATTTTAAATAAAATCATGCATGTGATCGATGAAATGTCATCTGCACAATAATTCTTACTTAATCGTCACACTGTGTCGAATTACTGATGGACGCTCAATAAATCAACTTCAAAATGAGAGTATTTTATTTATAATTGTTAATAAAGTAAATAATATAATATTAATATATTTTCTGAATACGTAAACAAATTAACCTCATGAAGTTATGACGAAATAATCGTAAACTAAAGCTAAGTTGTTTATACTCGTAGACATGTATAGTAATTATCTGTTATTTTTCATTTCATTTAAAAAAAGATATTTAACAAATATTATTATCTCAAAAAGAGAATTTTTCTAATCAATCGACGTTAGAGACGTACTAGCGGGTCAATTTATTGCAAATACATTATACTAATATTATAAATAATAAAATTTAGATTTTTGGATGTCGTGGATGATCACGCCAGAACGGCTGAACGGATTTAGATGAAATTTGGCACAGAGATAAATTATATTATAGTCTGGAATAGCACATAGGCATTTTTTATCCCGGAAAAATGAACGGTTCCCGTGGGATAGATTTGTTTTTGTTTTTCTAAAGGCGAACCCAAGCGAAGCGAGGGTGAGCCGCTAGTAGTATTGTAAAACAGTTAGTAAGTAATGATTAGAACGGCAAAATGGAAATACATAATGTTATTATTTTAACTAACATTATTAATAGGACACAATATACCTTGTGTCATATTTTTTCTTAAAAGATACTTTACTATATTGGACCAATCGGAGTCCGTTTATTTTTAAGAGAAAAAAATATATTAAAACTTGAAATTTATAAAACTCCAGGCTTTCAATATTTTGTTTTCATACCAGATTCCGATTGGATTATATATGGTACATAAAATATGAAAGCACAAAGCAGTTGTGTAAGATTGAGAAGACAGATGAAGTAAAAATCATAATATATTACATTTCTTTTTAGGTGGTATTTATTACATAATATCGAGGTCGCTTGGACCTGAGTTCGGTGCATCGGTCGGGATTATTTTTGCGTTTGCAAATGCGGTCGCGGCCAGCATGAATACTATCGGTTTCTGCGATTCTCTCAACGATCTTTTGAAAAATCAAGGAGTGAAGATATTTGACAATAGCCTCAATGATACAAGACTAGTAGGCACTGTTACTCTCATCGTGCTGTGCATCATCTGCGCGGTCGGCATGGATTGGGAGAGTAAGGCCCAGGTAATGTAATACATCACTTGAATCATGAATGTATGTGGATAGTACCATTTTATCACCATGTATACTTTTTTCTACATTGTATTCAGCCCTTTTTTAATGTCCCACTGCTGGGCACAGGCCTCCCTTTAGTATGAGGGGAATCAGGCCATAGTCCACCACGCTGGCCAAGTGCGGGTTGGCGGATTTCACATGTCTTTCAAAACTTGCTAGGTTCCCTCATACATGCAGGTTTCCTCACGAAGTTTTCCTTCACCGTAAGGCAATCATGTTAGAAATGATTCGCACATGAAAATATCAGAGGTGCGAGACCCGGGATTTGAACCCGCTTCACTCGGTTTCCCAACCGAGCGCACTACCACTGGGCTACCACTGCCTTTCATTATATATTTTTCTACATTAGTTCCATAAAATAAATCTGGTATATACACTTAGAAGACACTTAAATAAATAAATATCAATATTATGATTAAGTGCCATATTTCCGAGATATTTGAAGGCAAATATCACCATATGAAAACGATGATAGTCACAAAAAAAATGCGAATTATGTACTATTAATAAGCGTTGGTTCTCACATAAGCGATTTTTACCTCAAAATATCTCGGTAGCATGAGGGCTTAGGCCACTAAATGGCTAATATGTTTTTGTTTGCTTAAGTATCCCCTACCCATAAATTAATCTTATTATTGCATTTATGAGTTTCATCGTGCGCCGCTACTTTGACAAATAAAATGGCAGTGGGTGGATGCTTGCTTCCATAGAAAAATAATCGAGGCATTTTCTTGAAATTTCAATATTTAAATAGTAATGAGATCTTAATAATATATTCATTTAAGAAAATTCAAGAGCTTTAGAAAATATAATATCCCTCAATAAAATTCAGTTAGTTTAATTTTATAGTTTAAAAGTTTAATTATATATGCCAGAACACACTGTGACAACAAAAAATATACGTATTGCCTTTTAAAATAAGATTAGAAGGTAAAGCTTTTAATTACACAATAACAATGAAAAACATAATAACCATGTTTATAATGGACACCTAGATACCATGTTAATTAAAGCTTAGTTAGCTTAGAGGGGAATGCAGGTAGCGTTCGTGTCAGTGTTCCACGCGGACTGTAATTATATATTAAGAGTTCGCTGTTTTGTATATAATATCTTTGTATGTATATAGATATATTAAACAATTTACATATATATACATGGAGAATACAATATTTAATATTTTTGTTACATAAAAATCGTTAAATAAAATAATTTGGGCTATATCAGTGAAGTTACAATAAGACATAAATATGATATAATGGACCGTGACTTGTTATAACAACCAATATTTAACATTTAATACATTTAGACTTAGTAAACATTTCTTAATTATCTTTTCTGTCGCCCTTCGCCACACCTCACTCATGGGATTGCCTAAATGAAAAATGTTGGAAAAACAAAGCGCTTTTATTTAATTAAAATAATGTACGCAGTGAACGGATATGATATCAAACAAGATTACCCATGAATATATGGATAATAATTACAACGAGCTTTACATTTTAAAGTATCTATATATTAATACATGAAGCAAAAACTTTTTATTTTTTACCCCTTTTTACGAAAATTGCGCGGACGGAGGAGTATGAAATTTCCGACACTTATAGTTTATATAGAGACTACTTCTCTACTCGTAGAATGCTAATATTTTTTCAAAATTATGCATAAAAAATACATTAAATCAATAAAAAAAAACATTACACCCACTACCATGTATTTGAAACACACACGCATAATATATACTCTTTTGTTTATTGTTGAAGTCTGTAGTCAAATTGAGAATTATGTATTATTAATACGTGAAGCAAAAACTTGTATCCCTTTTTTTAAAAAAAAACAATAATAATCATGGCCGAAATTCGACCACTCGGCGAACTCTAGTTTTTATAAATACTCAGTAAGCTTTTATTGCTTGCTGTCTTAAAAACATAAAGAAAATAGACATATTATTAATGGCACTAATATAAATAAATATAAATTAGAAATTTGAGGACGTCTAAATCAGTTATCCTATCGTCGTAGAAAGTACATCTTTATCGTAAAGATTCCAGCAAAATTCTATTTTACAGAACTTCCTCATCGCAATTATAATCGGTGCTATGGTAGATTTCGTAGTGGGCACGTTTATGGGACCAAAAGATCTGACTGAAGTAGCAGAAGGATTTGTCGGTCTTTCAAGTAAGTATAAATTCCAAATAAAACCTTAACAATAAGAAATAATGATATGGTAATATGTGTTTATTGAAAAAAAAAATAGTTTTTTTTTCTTAAAACGTAAAATGTTATAATAATTTACGCTTGAATATTATTAATTATATGTTTTTTTTTTTAGCGGAAACTTTATCAAAGAACTTTTATCCAGATTTTCGATTTAGTGAAGGAATCAATCAAGATTTCTTCAGTGTATTCGCCATTTTCTTCCCTTCTGTCACTGGCATACAAGCAGGTGCTAACATTTCTGGAGATCTAAAGGTAAGTCAAATATGTTACACGATATAATATTTCCTATTAAGTATTACCTATAGCTACATTAATTTATAGATCTCTCATACTCATTTCCATACACTTATCTAGCGTCCACAGCGGCTTAGACAGAGTCTTTCGTGGTTAGTTAAAATATTATTAAGATATTAAATTCAATTTTACATAATTTGTTAATACTGATATTTGGAAATGACCACCTTATTTATCCGCAGTTAGTGCGAAAATTTATCTTTAGTGTAAGGAGTGTTCTAAATAAAAAACCTTACACTATGAAGGTAGATTGTAAGTTAAAAACAATTTAGATGTCTTCAAACATAAATTAGGTCATCGAGTAGTATAAGTAGATATTGCAAGAGTAATCTTTTCTTCACTTTTACATCGACGTGGCTATAGCTAGGTTTCATGTATCGACAGTGCGCTGCGTTGCCTTGAATGACGTTGGCGCCTAAATTAGCCGCCGACCACTTGTCAATATTTGCCCTACTCCCTACGTATAACGGGAAGTAGGACACGTGCCTTCCCACTACCCACAACCCACTGTGCATAGTTACTGCATTTACTCTTCAAAGTGCTTTGTAAAATTATTACGCTCTGATGACTTCGTACTAGTTTAAAAATAGATAGCTGAAATAGTTTAAAATTGTTATTTGATAGATTTTTCTTAGTTCTTGTCAATAATTTGATATTTGAGACTAAGTTCCTTATCGCACGTTACCCACTGGTCCTCTTACACTTGGCGAATGAGAGCTAGACAGAAAGCTTTACATTGCTAATATATTTCATCGGCACGATGCTATTTAATAAAATATATAGCGAAATTATTTTGATTTTGCAACCGGGTGTTGTTGAAGTTGGATTTGGAAACTAAAGTTAACCGTAATTCAGTTGCCTGTTTTTAGATATGAGCGTTTAAAAACAGATTACTAGATAAATAATTGAGATGATTGAAAAATGTTTATAAAATTAAAAAATATTGATTAAAGCACTAACCGACATTGCTAAACCGAGTGTTACACGTGTAACGTAAATTGATGCCATTCGATGTAGCAGGAGGCACGCGCAAAATTACCACCCACGTGCTCGCGTCCCAGGAATTAAGAATATCGATTTATTCTCGCACTCTATGGAAATGTACACTTAATTGAGGCGATCGAGTTTATGTTACGAACAAAATACAAAAGACTTACAAATATTTTATTATAACGGGTAATTTCCATGAGCATGTAGCTAGGAAAGTTTTTGGACCTTTATTTAAGTTATTAGTATTTTGTAGTAAGTATCTTAAGTAAGTTTTAGTAATAAATAGACGTGGAGCTTTAACTTAACATTATCAGAATATTGTATAAGAAAATATTTGCTTGAAACTGAAATACCACAATAGGTACTATTTCCGTTCACTTTACGTAGAGCACACACTATTGAGCCGTAATTGATGTGTAAATTGAAAAATTGGCAAATTAAAGTAATTGTTAGTAATTTTTTCTACGTAAATGATAAATACTAGTAATTTTGATACGAATACATCAAAATATATATGTATTGTAACAGAACTGTACAGCGATAAGAACAACAAAACGTTTTCATCGAATAGGTACATTGTAATAAACAAGCTTATTGAACACATGAATTATACGCTAACGATTCGCAAATAAAAGCATATCGAATGTAACCAGTACAACGATGTCAAATTCATTGACCGTCGAAATTTGTGAATTTTATTACAGACCTAGTGAGTGCCGAATCAATTTAAAGCAATCGCACATTGATGAATCACGACTAAATAAAGAATTTAAACACTATATTTGTCTAATATTGGTTACAATAGAAGTATTACTATATTTTTTAAAATTGGTTAAGAGTACACACTTAAAGCTCCCAATCAGAATTACTATTAAACACTGCACAGAAAAATTAAGGTATTTTTTTTAAATATAAATTATTTCCATACAAACGTCGAAGCTGTATGGGGTACGGCTTAAACCTCCGCCATCTGAATATGTCGCTTATCCTTAAGTCGTCATGTATGGATTCAATAATGAAATGTTTATAAAAAACAAACAATTCTTTAAAATGTCGGTATATACATATTATATATTTATTTTATATGTAAGTCATATAAGACTGAAAAACTCATATTTTCTTTGGTCAAAATTTAAAGCCTTATAAATCGCAATATGGAATAAGAAGAAGAAGCTATCATTCGGTTTATAGCTTTTACATAATTAAAGATAAATGGTACTGTGGTGGTGGTGCTAATTTGGTTGTAAATTCTTCAAATAATAAGTGGCAACGTTTGTCCCAATTAAGATGTAGTACGTATGAAATATGAATAATGTCTTTTAAGGCGCCATGAATTCATAAAAATTCTTGTGGAGCTTTAAAGTTTTCAAGATTTTGTGTACCTATAATTTCTTATAATTTTCAAAGAGTAAATATTACATACAGTACGTTATTCTTAACGTTCATGTACCTAATTGAAAGCATGCATTCAAAACTCGATTTGAATATCTTCTCTCAATAGAAAACTTTCAACTAAATAATGATTTTTATACAATAAAAATTTTAAAAGTTATGATCTGAATATGATGTGTTATTATGATTTATAAACTTTTAAAATACTTAGTTGTGGGAGGAGCTCGAGGAGAGGAGCGAGCAAGTCGGGCAAAATAATATGGATCATTGTAAATCATTGACTCATAATTTACGCTTTATAGTCGAACTTCTGATATCATTTTCCATTGCAAATATGATTCATATTGGGTTGTATAATTAAGCTTTGTTATACACACAACATATCAAATGTCTTATTCCTGATTTAAATACATTAGATGAGTATATGGGTAAATGTCGATATGGAAAGAAGGATAAAAGGCCTATGTTAATGGTTCTAAAAATATCGTTAAATGTTTTCACATACGGTTTGTACGGGTTAATTTTTGGGATTTGATCAGGTCACAATCTAACAAGGTTTGCTAGGTATAAAAGGTAGTAAAGGTAGGTTATAGGTATAAAAAATCACTCTAGTCGAATGTAACTACGAGTAATTTAATCTAATCAAACCTTAAATAAATACGAAATGTTTTGCTTTCTCTCCTTTTTTTAATCAAAATATTTAACCAATAGTTCAAAATAATAAATAGTAATAAGTTCAAAATGATGAGATTCCGGGAATAGTCATAGGAAATTATATTTTTAGGATCCAGCGTCAGCAATTCCCAAGGGCACTTTACTTTCATTACTGATTTCAATGATCAGTTATGCGCTCATGGTGCTGTTCTCGGGCGGGGGCGCGCTCAGAAACGCTAATGGAAACGTCACTGCTCTTATAGTGAATGGAACGCAGGTCCTGGACGGTGTGACGTCCTGCAGTGATAACTTTGAAGACTGTAAATATGGACTACATAACAGCTACTCCGTGAGTATATTTATCAAATATTTAATTATGAAAACAAAAACAAACCTGTCCCATGGGAACCGTATATTTTTCCGGAATAAAAATGTAGCCTATGTGTTATTACAGACTATAATCTATCTCTGTGTCAAATTTCATCCAGGTCCGTTCAGCCGTTCTGGTGTGAAAGAGGAACAAAAACCCATACTCACAAACTTTCACATTTATAATATTAAATAATACGGGAATTAATTAAATAAATAATTATAGTGAGTAGGTATATAAATCAACTAATAATTAAATTATTGACCGAACTGCATTTATCATATTTTAACAGCTGATGTTCTAATCAATTTAATATAGGTTTTGTCCTTGATATTAAGTCGTTTAAAAATAATCAATTTAGGCCACGACGACCAATCTCACTGAGACTGGCTACGTAAGCAGGAGATATTATAGTGCACAAGTAACAAGAGTGTCTTTTCATTTTCAAAGTATATCATAAATTTGACACGACCATTATAAAATAAGACGCAGGACGCGCATATTTTCCCCACGGTCTACTGGAGATATCGGAAACTTCTTCTCTCTACCTATTTCCCAATCACTTGGGGTCGGCGGAGTATATCTTCTGTACTGCTGATAGGATTTGGTAAAGGTTTTACGACCGGCCGCCTGCCTGACGTCAACCCTCCTTGGGAATCAAATGGAGATGTTGGAAGCTATGTGCATTAATTTGATATATTTAGTATGTATAAAAATATCTTAAGTACTGACTCATTTCTCTTTTTCTGTACAGGTAATGCAGCTAATGTCAGCATGGGGACCCCTCATATACGGTGGGTGCTGGGCGGCCACGCTGTCCACGGCGCTGACCAACCTGCTGTCGGTGCCGCGGCTGATCCAGGCGCTGGGCGCGGACCGCATCTACCCCGGCCTCATCTTCTTCTCCAAGCCCTACGGCAGGCACGGCGAGCCCTACCGCGGATACGTGCTCACCTTCCTCGTGTCGCTCATGTTCTTACTCATCGGTTAGTTTATAATGTCTATTAGTATAACTTGCTTTATAATTATATCTAAAAAGTTTAGGTCTTTATAGCATAGATTACTCCTTACATACTTTCAAGCTTCAACTTCTTCTACTTATCGTTAAGAGTTATCTACTACGTACAAGTTCTTTGAGGATACGTATATAAAAGGTTCTTTCAATCAATCATCATCAAAAATCAAAAATTAAAATCTTCCAACTTTATAGTAAAGAGTAATATTTACAATTGCTATCTTACATTGCTGCAGTTCCAACTATACTAAGTCCCTACTCCACCAAATAATTGATTTTAATTGTATTACTTATACAAAAATAATCTATTACAGCGGACTTGAATACGATCGCGCCGCTGATATCTAACTTCTACCTCGCGTCGTATGCTCTCATCAACTTCTGCACCTTCCACGCCGCGCTCGTGCGGCCGCTGGGATGGAGGCCTACTTTTCGGGTAGATATATAGTAGTAGACAATTTATATACCTTAATGTTATTTTAATATTTTAGCCGACTTGAAAAGTGGAGGATACTTGTCTTTCAGTTCAAGTGGAATAATTTCATTTAAATAATTTTAAATTCGGTGTCCCTTTTATTATATTAAAATAATTTATGCTCTCAGTTTTGTTGCTTTGTATTATATAGGTACTACTAGTGATATAACACAGTATTTTAAATGAAATATATTTAAATGTCTCCGTTATGTGTATGTTTGTTTTGCCAATCTGATTAAACCTCATATTTCAGTATTACAACGTATGGATATCTATGATCGGGTTCCTGCTGTGTGTGGGCATCATGCTGCTGATCGGTTGGATGATGGCACTTATCACTTTCGCTATATTCTTCACGCTCTATCTCATCGTGCATTATCGGAAACCTGGTAAGATGAGTTTCTATTATGATTGTATTATTTATATAAGATTAATAAAGAAAACGAAGTTATCTTAATATTTTACTGATAATATTATCTGATGATTTTTAGCTTGCAATTTATTGATTTAAATGAAAACTCGACTTTTGTATCTTATATCTATGTTTAAATGTTTAGTTATACACCTATGTACTTACTTTACTTGCTATAACTACGCTAGTATCTAATGTCTGATAAAACGCCGGTGACAGACACATATATAGACTGTCAGTAAAATAGTACCAAGAGTGTTTCAGTTATTCATAACTTATTTAAATCAATCTGAAATATCAACTCAATTCATCTCAATCTCAAACAAATTATCATTCTTATCTCAAAACTATATTCAAGTGTAATGGTAATACGATATTTTATATGAGCGTTTCATAAATTAGGATAAGAGGGCTTTTGTTCTGCTTTTAGCGATATATCAGCACTCACTCCAGAATAAGCGATGATTGATTCTAAATCGGTACCTGTGAATGATTGCATCTCGTTCGTTGGCTGCCAGTAATAGTTTTTGCTTCAGATATAATATTTCAGATGATTACCTATTTCATACTTTAGTATTATTAGCATTCTATGTGTAGCGTGTAGGTCTTACGAGTTGTTTTTAGTTTGAATAAAATATTTTATAAGGAAATGCAAAATAATTATACAGTATGGAGACGTACAGGCTCTTTTTTATCTCAGTTCGTTGATTTTCTGTTGGATGATGATGTCATTAGTGAAGAATAAGTTTTTAATCGATACTCAAATTATAATAGACCGTTGAACTGTAAGGTTTCGGCGAAGTGAACAGGACTTGTTTGCAATCTCATATTATTATGTAATACTAGTTTTTGCCGCGGTTTCACTTTATGACTTAGTGGGTACGTTAATAAAATTCGTTTTATCAACGATATTGTTATTATAATATTAATTCGACGAAACCAAAAGGAATAATTAATATGAATAACCTTCTAATAAATTTAAAAATTAAAAAACCTTTATTCTTCCAATTAAAAGTTTGTTTTTAATATTCATTGTAGACGTTAACTGGGGAAGTAGTACACAAGCGCAAATGTACAAAACAGCACTCTCCAGCGTGCACAGCCTGGCGCGCACCGGCGACCACGTCAAGAACTACTGGCCGCAGCTGCTGGTGCTCGCGGGGAAGCCGCAGGACCGCCCCGCGCTCGTCGACCTGGGGAACCTCATTACTAAGTCCGGCTCCTTGATGATTGTTGGGGATATATCACAGGTATTATACGTATATTGTTTATTAACAGGCACTGCATTTAACAATACTGGATTCCCCGTACAGACTTTGTCACTTTTCTTTTACAAAAAAATCTTAAAAAAAGTAGTTTCATACAAACTTGCATCCCCTATTTTACCCACTTATAGGGTGAAATTCGAAAAATGCTAATACACGTATTTATTTAATTTTATAGAAGAGCCAAGAGATACCAAGTTTCAAGTAATTCTGAACTCCCGCGGTAAAAAGTACCCTATGTCACTCTCCAGCCCTTCAACTATCCTCACACAAAAAATCACGCCAATACGTCACTTCGTTTCGACGTGAAAGAAGGACAAACAAACAAACACACTTTCACATTTATATATATTAGTATGGATGATTATAATGGTATAGATATTGTTTGAATGTAGAAGGAGTTTCCATATTGAAATAGTCGCGGGGGACGCGATAATTGAGAAAATATTAAACTACCAATCAAAATTTTGATCTTTTTTTTTGGCCTGATTATACTTTTGAAGTACCTACATATCTATATTTTATTAATAACTAGCAACGTTATGTTACGTTTTAACGTTTAGCATTTCTCAGAGATGAGTTATTTTCCCGCACTAAAAAGTATCCTATATGTTGACCCGGATAACCAGCTATCATCATACCAAATTTCATAAAAATCTGTCCAGTGGTTTTTCCGTGATGCGGTAACAGACAGACAGATAAAAATTCTAAAAACTATAGATTCGTCCTCTGTGTCGATAATAATGTCTATTTCAATAAGATTTTCCAAAAAATAACTAAGATACAGATTCGACTCAGTTAGAATTTTATTATACCTATGTATAGATATAAAGCCGTAGTAGCAGTTCTTAATCGTATTGATAACTTACAATTAAATTAAAGATAAAGTAAATCTTTGCTAACTGCCAAGAGATAAGATTAATGAGAAGACACTACATATAGTAGGATGTGTAAGATTTCTTTGCATTCTAATTTTAGAAGAGGTTTTATTTTATATTGAAGTTAATAAAATTATTTACAAAGTTTACGTATGATACAATTACACATAACAGTTTGTAAGCATTATTTCACATGAGATTTTAGTCATTGTTACAAGATACAAAGCGTGACGAGGAACGTAAAATACTTATGTTGCTAACAAAGACAACAAACAGTGTGGTTAGTCTGGTAATAAACAAATTTAATGTATTTTTAAGGAGGCTTTAAAATATTTTTAAAGATTTATAAGACATTGTATAAGTATATAGTTAAAGAAAATTAGCCTATATTTTAACACTTCGAACCAAAGTTATAAGTTTTATTAAAACAATTATTTTATTGATAATGAATAATAGTAAATGAGTAACACAAAATTTAATAACGCAATAAAAATTGTTATTATTATAGTCGAGAATTGGTTAGATTTGATTGAACTTCTCAAAACACATTAATAGAGCCGACGTTAAGACCTAGGTTACTTTAAAGTCATTTGATGAATTGTAATTGTATTTACTTTAAATTTTTAATATTACATTATTTTTATCTAGAGATAGAGAGAACGAAAACATACTAAAACCTCACTCAGCACCGTATTTGTTTCTTAATTTGTTTATCTTGACTCTCTGACATCATCAATTTATATGAACATTTGCTTAATATCAAGTATATTTTTATAATTCTACAGTATTTTTACCAATCGTCTGACAGCGAAAGCATCTTACAAAATGAACAACATCCTCGTGGCATTGACTCGCTCAGCACTTGTTTTATACTATTTCTTCCGCTAAATAGTAAACCTGTATTAACTAACCAATCGTCCCATAGCAAAAGCTATCATACAAGGAGCGGTCTCACCGCGCGCGCTCGGGCGAGGAGTGGCTGCGCGGGCGCAAGGTGCGCGCCTTCACCGCCGCCGTGCACGGCTTCCCCTTCGAGTGCGGCGCGCGCGCGCTCATGCAGGCCGCCGGCGTCAGCAAGCTGGCGCCCAACGTGCTGCTCATGGGGTACAAGGCGGACTGGGAGAGCGCGGACAGAAGTGCGCTTGAGGCGTATTTTAATGTATTGCAGTGAGTGTTCTATTTCTTTTTAGAGTACCGAGTAGGTAATTCTAAAATAAATAGCAACATTGAACAGATTGTTCAATTATACCTATTTTTCGATAACTATGTATATTATGTTATTCAAAATATCAGTCTAGTATAAACAGATTAAATATGACTATAGACAGTGTCGGATTTAACCTTATCACCGTCCCTGGGCATAGTAAAAAATACCGCCCAATTATAGAAATTTTGCATAAAATGGGTAAAATTTTGATAAAGTTTACTTTTTTTTTAACTATAAATTTTTGGAAAAAATACAAAAAAATAATTTATAAATGATTTCAATTTTTCGAAAAATTTAGTAGTTATTTTTTTTTATTTTTTTTCTGGAAAATAATAAAAAGCATTTTCGATAACGTGAAGAGATTTTTTTCCCACCCTCCGGATTTTGCCACCCTTAGAATTTGCCGCCCTGGGCATTAGTCCCGGGTGCCCCTAGTGTAAATCCAGCGCTAACTACAGATATTTTATTGATTGTAACGTAAAGAATTCTAAAGACCCTGTTATAAATTAAAGAATGATATTATTTCTTCTATTTCCTTCCCTCCCGTTGATAATACTAAGACACAAAACTCAACAGCTCGGCATTCGAGAGCCGGCTGGCGGTGGGCATCGTGCGCGTGGCGGGCGGGCTGGACTACAGCGCGGTGGGCGCGGGCGACGCCGCCAGCGGCCTCACCGCCGCCTCCAGCGCCGGCGACCTGCGCGTGCGCGCGCCCATCATGCACGCCGACTCCGACCTGGACATACGCGCTGACCATCCACCGAGGAGTAACCTTAGTGAGTGACACATCATTTTATTAGAATATATAATATATAAGGTTTCGTCATTGACCTAAACAGAATATCTCGTGGCAAGTTACAGTAAAATTCGCCAACCATAATGTAGCTTTCCAACTTTTATATGAATGTAAGTATGATAGTCGGGTGCGCCTTACACAAGTGTCACCTCGCGTGACCCGCAAGGCAATTAATTTTGGCTTGACTCCTTCGCTAAACGAATATTGGATTAGTAGACTGGGTCAGTAAGCTGTTCTCTTCTGCTATCCTAGTATATATTATATGTTAAATACCATATGGCTACTTAATGCTCATCTAGCACGATAACTGCGACCTAGCTATATATATACATGCACCGAATATTCACACACCTTAGTAAGTGTCGTTTTGCTTAGCTGTTAGCTAACTTCAATGTTACATTAGACCGTTATATTACCTCTTATAAATAAATACAGAACTTCAAGATCGTTCTGTTCTCTGATAGACATAATGACGTCACAGAAAAAGAAAACAAACGTGTAATAATTTTTTAAGTTACTAGCGACTCACTCTCGTTTCCCCATACACACTTTCATCCCCATTTTCACCCTCTTAAGGGATGATTTCCGAAATTAAAACTATCTTATGTCCTGCCTAAAGTCTCAAACTACCTTCTTACCAAATTTCATCTAAATCGGTGCAGTAGTTTCAGAGCCTATTCGATACAAACAAACAAAAAAAATCATTTTTTCCTCTTTATAATATTAGAATAAATAACAAACTTATGTTATATTTCAGATCTGTTGACTCTAACGTCGTCACGGTCTTTCACGATATCCGAGAAAAGTGATTCGTCGAAGAAGAAGGAGAAGAAGGCGTTAGACATCCACCGCCAGGTCGTGTACAAGTCGGCGTCGGGCGTGGAGGTCTCCGCCGAGCAACTCTCACACATGACCATATTTAAGAGGAAACAGGTCAGTATATGTTGGGATATCGTTAGGAAAAGAATAGGTGTCCATTTTTAAAATATACATTTTATTATAATGATAATACGTTATTCAATTATTCAAAAGCAATAATGAACAGTTATTAATGAACAATAATTATAACAAATGACATTTCTGTAAAAATATGAAGGTAGGCTAGAAAGACTCAATAAAATACATTTCATCTCCTACATATATGCTGTGTCATCACGTGCTATAAAAGTTATATTTTATCTAATAGATTATAAAAAACATTATTACCACTTGCCTTACGGTGAAGGAAAGCATCGTAAGGAAACCTGCATGTCTGAGAGAACCTAGCAAGTTTTCGAAAGACATGTGAAGTCCGCCAACCCGCACTTGGCCAGCGTGGTGGACTATGGCCTGATCCCCCTCGTACTGAAGGGAGACTCGTGCCCTGTAGTGGGGTGTTAAAAAGGGCTGAATACACACATACCCATAATATACGCGTGTGTGTCAGGAGCCGGGCACCATCGACGTGTGGTGGCTGTACGACGACGGCGGGCTGACGATGCTGCTGCCGTACATCGTGTCGCAGCGCGCGGCGTGGGCGCGCACGCAGCTGCGCATCTTCGCGCTCGCCAACCGACACCACGAGCTCGAGCTCGAGGAGAGGAAGTTAGTCACCCTCACCGTAACACACTCATATTACACACATCGTATACACTTATAAAGACATACACCTAGAATTACTTATTATTGTGTCCTAAATATATATAAATGCTTCAAAATGTGTGTTGTTAGTGTATTATTTCTAAATAAATAGTAAAAATACATCACATTACACACCGTATATAGACTTATATCATACTACTGGCGACAAAATGTTACTTTAACGTTAAAACCGTTCGCTATGAAATTTGGTGTTTTTGACAACCCTTGTAAGTCCCGTTCAAATCAATAGGCGATCACCGATGGTGCAATTTAAACTAGCTAGATTGATTTCGCCATATTACATTACACTATATAAAAGCATACCTACGTGTCGTATGTACGCTCTTCCATTTTGAGTGGCCGGCACTCAATTTAGGTGTATGATTTTTATACAACAATTTTTATCATTCTTCTTTTTCTTCCAAATACGTCATGTAAATTCCAAGCGCCTTTTATTTAATTAATAATTTTATCTTTAATTACTTTTAAAATGATTTAAAAGTTGTATCTTTATAACGGAAACCTAATTATTGGAAATAAATTAATTGTTAATAAATAACTACAGCATGGCGAACCTGTTGGCCAAGTTCCGTATCGACTACTCGTCGCTGACGATGGTGCAGGACATCACGGAGCCGCCGCAACCAGACACCAAGCAAATGTTCGACGAGCTTATTAAGAAGTTTACTGAAGAACATGGCGGTAATTATCAACTGTTGCACATCAATCTATGTAATATCTTATAAGTTACTTACGGAATTCACGGCTTCGCCCGCGTTCAATTTACAATAAAAAACTCTTTTGCTTTATGTTTAAATACTAAAATCTCGATTATATTGTGGGATGGGGGTAGCAGGGTGATAAATACTTTACGACCAATTCTCATACCTTTAGCCTTATATCTCCTTTAGCCTTATAGCTCTCATACCTTTTATGTACCTAACATATATACAAAAAAATATACCTACCGTTAAAATCAGTCGAGCCGTTTCGGAGGAGTTCCCACAAACACTGTGACACGAGATATTTATGTATATTAGAAGATTATATTTTTATTATTCGTATTTACGATAAAATCAAATTGCGTATTAGTTACTGTAATAACAATATCATCATGTTAGGACTTAATACATCGATTGAATCTCGCATAATCATATCTGTAATCTTTTCACGGAACCCTAGGGAACTGTGGACCACCATTTGGGAACTCAGACTCTAGTAGAGTTTGAGTTCCCAAATGGTATATAATATATTCGTAGCACGTATATATGTGTGTATGTGTGTTTGTGTGTGTACAGACGGCAGCATCAGCGCGACGGAGCAGGCGACGCTGGCGGAGAAGAGCAACCGACAGCTGCGCCTGCGCGAGCTGCTGCGGCACAACTCCGCCGCCGCGCGCCTCGTCGTCATGTCGCTGCCCATGCCGCGGAAGGTGACCACTTTTCTTTCATTTTAAATAATACTATCTTTTTCGACTCAGTCTCGCCCGTGACCATGATTGCTGTAAAGCATTCGAAACGTCGGGAACCAAAAATCAAAATAAATTCGCGAAAATTCCGAAAAGATAGTTTTATTTAAAATATCAAATATTCGCGTAAATCTAAAGAAAGTATCACTCTTATATTCGGGTATGCATTTACGAATACCACCTGCATACATACCATACGGTTCGCATTCGCAACGTGACCACTGACCACCTGTTCACTAGCATTAAATATTTTTAGAACCAAGTCCCTTATCGCACGTTATATTCGGAACACTTAACTTGGCGAATGAAAGCTATACGGAAACGAGTGTGGTATTTCGACCGTCACGACTCTTTTATTATTTACTAAGAACACCCGATGTGATTTCATCATACATTTGACGACACGTTTGGCTCAGCTTGTAGTAACCCTACTTGCTGTGCCAGTGGTCGCGGGTTCAAGTCCCGCTGGGAGCATTCATTTGTGTGATGAGCACGAATGTTTGTACTCTAGTCTTGGGTGTTTATATTTATAATATGTATGTATTTAAAGTTATATATGTATAGTGTATCAACTATCTGGTATCCATAACACAAGCCTCGTAGCTTACCGTGGAACTAGATGGCGCTGTGTGTTAATGTCCCAACATATATATATATATCATAAGTACCAGGCTATCATATATGTTAACGAGTAATTCGTATGCACTCTTATGACGGGGCCCTACATATGTAATGGACATTCCTTGAAATTTGTGGTCCCCCTAGTACTTGTAACAATTATTGTCAATAGGTGTCAACCCGTAATGTGACCTCATCATTTAAAATGTACCAACAATTGAACATACATTGCTTGATGTCTATGATATCCTAGTACTCGTGAGAATTTTATGATATAATTTATAAGCCAAGGGCGGACTGCGAAAGGAACTTCGTCCCTACCAAGTGTCCCACGACATTTTTAGATTTTTTTTAATGTTGCGCATATTATATATATCCATATCTATACATATAATATAATTGTAACTAAGCCGAATCTGTACATTAAATATTTTTTGGAAAATCTTATTGAAATAGACATTACTATCGATACAGAGGCCGAACCTATAGTTTTTAGAATTTTTGTATATCTGTCTGTCTGTCTGTTACCGCATCACGGAAAAACGACTGGAGGGATTTTGATGAAATTTGGTATGATGGTAGCTGGTTATGCGGGTCAACATATAGGATACTTTTTACCGCGGGAAAATGTCTCATTTCTGAGAAAAAATACAAAAACTGCAATGTAATAGTATCCTAATATGTAAAACCTAAGATTTTGGTTTTTGGTCATCTGAACGCGGGCGGAGCCGCGGGCAATGCTAGTGTATCTATATATATCTAAACTATGTATGTAGGTGACATACATAGTTTAGATAGGTTATTAAGTGGGCAGTTAGCACCACTTTTAAGCGGTCAGTAATTTGAAGCAGTTAGATTGAATTTGTTATCAAATATCTTTCAATATCTTTATCAAACGAAAATTAAATAATATTTATATACTTATTTCCTTATTAAATTATTATTATAATTTCATACGTTAATATTTAAATTACCAGTTATTGTTGCTTGCTAATTCAAAATACCCGTTTTAAGAAACTCATTTTTTTTATAAATGACTTTCAAAATATTTCCTATATTTTTTTATGACGCTATAACAATGTAAGCAAAAACTAAAAAATCTTCCCTATCACTACATACTATAAAACAAAGTCTCTTCTCGCTGTTTGTCTGTCCCTATGTATGCTTAGATCTTTAAAACTACGCAACGGATTTTGATGCGGTTTTTTTACTAGATAAAGTGATTCAAGAGGAAGGTTTATATGTATAATACATGCGTATTATAGTACAAAAAAGCCGATAAATTCAAAGATTTGTATTTCATACTAACCGTTAAAACGTACCTAGTTATAAAACGAGAACAATATCTGCAGGGCTCGGTGTCGGCGCCGCTGTACATGGCGTGGCTGGAGATGCTGAGCCGCGACCTGCCGCCCGTGCTGTTCGTGCGCGGCAACCACACCTCCGTGCTCACCTTCTACTCCTAGGCCCACCCCCACTCCCACTTCCACTCCCAAGCTTCCGTCGAACTAGCCCGAACTTTAAGTATGTATTTAAGCATATTCATTTATCTCACTTCCAAATCGCCTTTTACCAAACTTTTGGCGGACAAGTCTAAACTTCAAATACAGTCTAATAATCCATACACTCGTCTAGACAAGACATTTGGCATGGAACATTTCATGAGTAGCAAGTAACTGCTACAAATCATATCTTGATGAAATCACAGATCGTATTCGGATTTCATCATAGAATTAAATCATCGTCAGTGACGTGTCTTGAAGACAGACAATCGTGCGAGCATCGGGGCATGCAGGGAGACGCGGGAGAGGCGCTCCCGACTACCATACGTTCTTTTATATGGCAGTCGGGAAACAGCTTCAGGGTTGACAGGTATACCTGTAACTTACCAAGAAACGCTTCAAATATGAATCCTTAATATTTTTTAATGTTTATATTACCTATTCATCAAGTTACTACTTATATATGAATATTCTCTATTAAGTTTATATATAACGATGTATAGTTTAATATTTAATTTAGATAGTTAGTTTTTTGTTTGAAAGTTGAAACTACAAACAGATATTTTATGTATTGATAGTTAATTATTAATTATAGTACAAGTAATTTTTGATATATTTATAGACATGTTAGACGTAACGAAAGATGCAATTGTGTACAATATATACGTATAATAAATAAATATTTAAAAATATTTAGTATAATTGAATGGCGTTTAACTAGAAGTAAGTAGGTATATGAATTAATATATTGACATAATAATATCAGTGAAAAGGACATTTTTTTTATAAAATACGGTAATATCTCTTTATAATATGTATAAGACTGAATTGTATCAAGTAGCTACTGAGATAACAGATTCTATCCCAGCACATTATTCGAGGCATATTATATTATGGAAATTCAGAGACTTGCACAATATCAAACTTTTTGTATTGACTTTTAACGTTCATTAAGCATTTTCTTAGCAAAGGAACTCCAATCAAGTCTATGTTACTAGATTTTCGAACTATAGATACCAATCAGAAAAATATTTTATGTATGTTTTTTAGTTTTAAATTAATACTGCGTCTGAAATATGCGAAGACCAAAGCACTTGATAAATTTATTTTATAGCTGCAGTTTTGTGCCTTTATTTGAGTACAATTATAGAGTATAGAAACAGACCAAAGTGTTGCGTATGAAGCATAGAACAAATGGAAGGGTGTTAACGATCTATTTAAGTAAGTGTGTGTGTGTATATATATATATATATATAATATATATATATATATATATATATATATACATATATATATACACATATAGCCCAGTCATTTGGTGCTCAAAAAAGAGGTTACGCGGAAAAATTTCCGAGAGTTTTAAAAATTGGTGATTTTGTACATTTTAACGGGTTTCTTCCGAATCTCTACTTTGACTTTACTACCAAATAACTGGACAATTATAACTATTAAGTTTTAGATTATTTTAAGTATATTTAGATATAATGTACCTATGTCTATATCTTTTCGGTATTTTGCCTTTTTGATTGTATACCTACTAATCTTTCTTTTACCTTTCTTCCATATAATGACTCATTAAGACTCTTTTTCTCATTTTAAAGATTAAAAACAAAACCATACCTATTATGTATAAGTATTTTTAAACAAACGTACAATTTAAGGCATTTTATTAAATGACAAAAATACTAATATAAAATTTATAAGTATCACGTTCATAATAATATTTAAAATGATTTTATACCTGTGAATTAATTACTTCCGTATTTTTTTTTTTAATAAAAACTTAATATAAAATTGTTTAACATAACACGAATAAATACAAAATCTGATCAAATATTCTTTGTAACAAGTATTTGATTTTATCTCATTTTAGGATTCTTCACAAAGTAAAAATTTTTATATTGTTATCTTTGTTAAAATACATTTTAAATAAAATTTATGATTTTCTTATGCCGGCTCCTGGACTATAGTAAATTAAGGAACAAAGTGTCTTTAATATATTACTTAATTTTATTTACTTAATATACTTTACAGAGATTTTAATATAAAATGTAAATCTTATTTATCTCATGTCTTAAGTATTACACGATAGTTGAAAGACAATATTCTACCCAAATAAATTTACTTTAAAACTGTTTTAATATGTTTTGCTTTTATATCTCTCCTTTATCCTTATACTACTTTTTTTTATTAGTAAAATTAATATTCAGGATGTAAAATGTACCGCCGTATGGATATCTATCTAATATATTTAAACGAGCAATTCTTGTATATATATTTATATATAATATTCAATTCAGATTATATATTGATATATATATATATATACAAAACGGCTCCAACGATTTTCATTAAATTTAGCATACCAGGGGTTTCGGGGGAGATAAATCGATCTAGATTAGTCTTATGTCTAGAAAAACGCGTGTTTTCGAATTTTCATGCGGTTTAATATTATGTTCGATAATTTCGCACGCTCGGATATTAATATCGTGTTCAAGCGGCCAAGGTGCAATATCAACAATCATAGGTGTCCGGGTTCGAATCCCGGTCGGATACAAAGGTATAGTTTATTTTAGTTTTTTTTTGTTTTTATTCAAGTTTTTAGTTTTTTTTTAAAGAAAATTGTCTTTTTAACCAAAACTGCGAGCGAAGCTCGGTGGCCCAGGTACTTTAATATTATATGTAGTCAGTTCTGGAGTAGGTTCTATACTTTTGGCTCTAATTTCCTAAAATAGTAAAATAAACATAAACCAAGCTTAAAGCTGTGAGATCAATGTGACCTAGTAACCGGTTGCCTTTGGTACTAGGGCCTAGATTCCCTAATTTATCACATAAGAATGAATTTTTATTCTAGAAAATATGTGAACAAATTAAAAACGTGGCACTATTGGTTTATTGATCGTGAACATCCTCACTTCGTCGTGAACAGCTGAAGTGGCCATCAAAGCAGCGCCTACTCCACTTTGCATACGAGCTTCGCTGTGCCGCGCACTTGCTGACTCTACAATAATAAATCTATGATAATAAATGCACATATTCTTTATCTTTAGCTTTCAATGTCAAATTTTATTGAACCCTACGAGTACGGGACGGGACGTAACGGGATTTTTAACGACTAATAACAAACTAAAGCCTCACAGTTCACAAGTAGCTTCGTTTTGACCAAACGCTCGTCTTTTCTTTCAATGAAAATTTAAAAGCGGTAGATACAATTGTGGATTGATACGGAACATGTCGAAATGGTGATTGTATAAAATGTACTATTAACAGGTTGTTTTACAATTTAATCTTGAGTTAATTCGACATAAAACAAGAATTTGTCCTACAATACAGATAGGTAGTTTGGATCAAATCGTCCCCCTCTCCGAATTTGTTATAATAACGTCCTACTTTTTTTAATAACTGGCTAATTTTCATAGTATTTATTTATTATTATAAATATGCATAATTGAATGATCAAATCGTCCTAAAAAAATTGTAGGAATTCTGTCCTACGCTCGGATATTGTCTTCCGCACATTCGTAAATTCGTAAACACTACCACTATACAATTTCCGTAAAAAAGAAAAGTTGGGCGTCTCATCAAAACTACGTTACTTGTGAAGTTTTAGCTTGTTATTAAAAACCGTTGGGGACTTTATTTTTATATTCTTCCGCTTTATTAGCATCTCCGAGGGGAGAAAGTCTTTAAATGTCAATATTTTAATTTGAACGAGTTACAAAGCTTTCAACGAAAGTATCGCACAATGATTAAATATTTTAACTTGAACAAAATAAGCAACGTTTCTGATAATTAAGTGTTTATGTAAGGATTGTTCGTTTAAAATGTGTTTACTTCGCTTCAGGGCTCGGTGTCGGCAACTTTATATATGTCCTGGCTGGCAGTTTTGAGCAAGGACTTGCCGCCGACGCTGTTCGTGCGCGGGACGGACGTCACGGTGCTCGAAGCGTAAACGCACATGTTAGATATGAACATTTAATTTTTGCTAAATATAATTAGCGATCAGACTTAAAATGAAAATTTAAATTATCTAATAAATTTAAAATAACTTTGTAAAGTCAATGATAATGTATAATAGTTTTAAATAAGTGTCAATAGATGGCATTATGAGTATAAATTTGTTATTTTGTATAAAATTAACAAAAGATAAAAAATCCAGAAAAGGTATGAAAACGAAATAATGTTATCGGAAATCAATTTGCGTATTTTTACTGTTTATTGAATAATTTTATCAATCACATTATGTGTTTGTGGTGCATATACACAGATGGCGCTTTTACATAAGTTAATTAAAACGGCTAAAACCTGTTAACTTTACTGAAACTTGATTAATAAAATGAATTATTCACTAATTTTGGAACTGTTCATTCGTCTGCAGTTAGAAAGAAAACGACATCCAATCTATTAAAGCAAACAAAAATAGCCAAAAGAATAGCCCGAATTAGCACTGTCCAACTTCTTTGTATGGGATGGGGCTGTACTAGTAATATGTCATCTGTGATGACGCCTGACGGTTAGAGAAAGATAAAATACAATTTCAATATATTACAAGTATTTCTTTATTTCACACATAATTCACAAAAAGTTTAATTTAAATTTGAAACATAAAGATGATAAAATATTTACAGATACAAGAACCAACAGACGTTCAAGTTTAACAATTTCCTTAAATGATTACAAAATAACAGGAGTCCAGCAGAATCTGAAAATCATTTACTTTTGCTGCGAAAGAGTAAAAAAATTAATTTATAATATTAAAATGCATTTAATATTTACATTTGTTGTACCAAAAACCATGATTTGTACGCTAAATGAATGTTACATTGCTCTATTCCAAATTAATCTATGTTTGTGAATATCTTATAAAATAAAGTCTTGCATCTATCCAATCAACACTACGGCTAAGGCTTACCACTGGGGTACTGGGGCCAGACAAAGGAAGAATACGATATATTTTTTCTAAGGCGGCTATAAATATTTTTAATGCTTAAATAACTTAAAATGGAACAAAAATAATACTAATAGGGAAATAAATATTAATGTAATATGTATAATTTGCTAAACGAATAAAGCCACGTCCACAATCTATATCAATAGAATGTTTTTTATGTAACTCGTAAAAAATTATGAAAGTTTAGTATATGCTTATTTCACATACGAGTATTTAACAATTGAGAGCCGAGATGGTTATTATAAAAAAGGGTAAAACAGAAAACTTGGCAAGAAATAGCTAGCGTAAATGTATTATTATTATTAAGTTTATAAATTATTAGTAATACATAAATTTAATAAACTATGTCTATTGTAATATTTATTACTATTTGAATGTAGACATGGCTTTACTAAGGTGGTTGTAAAATTAAATACATGAATACAAAGAAATCGATACGGTTTTGTACTATTTAAGAAGCATCAAATTTACTATATTACGTGAGCGTCGTTTTGTTGGAAAGTAGTAAAGCAGATAATGAAATTATAAATCTTACACTCTCGCACCCACTACCTTCATCATATCATAATACAATTTAAAATAACACATTGTGCACAGCAAATATATTATAGACAATTTAGTAATTTAAGCATGAAAAAATGATCATTTTAAAGACAATTTCGCAAACATTTAATACAATCGTTACAAAGGAATTATGATTTTTAACATTAAGATGAAGCAATTTTGGCAATTATCATTGTGTTTCGAACTTTCGAGAATGTCAAGTGCAAGAACTGAGGCAATGCGATATGTCAGTTGCGTGATAGGACGGCGGCACAATGTACACATGATACGATATGTCACTATACATATATCTTTTGAAAAATAAAACTCCATTCTGCTTCAACTTTATAAGTTTGGATTATAATTATTTGGTACACAATGTAGAGCACAACTTTCTTTGAAAATTATTATTATACATTTGACTCCAAATTTTACCCGTTTACAAGTTAATATGTAATTTAAAAATAACACATTAACGTGTACGTGAGAGAAAATATATACATTGTATCATATATATATATTTTTCTTTCCTCGTAGTGCAAATGCAGCTGTGTTCTACAAAGAGTACGTCTCTATCTCTTATAAATTTAAATATATTTTTTTACTATGATTATTAAGTGAGATATACTTTTACAATTATTCATTTACTAGTTCTTATTGACAGAGCGCATTGTAACATCATGTTTCAAAATTTAGAGAAATTAACAGTATTCAGTCTATAACCATTTAAAATTATTATATTTTATTATTTATTTTACTATAATAGACTCACAATTGCGCCGTGCCAGTTGTTATGTACCTTCAATTAAAATATATAAGAGCGAACATTTCCAGCTAACACGGCGCAGTTGTGAATCTAGATTCGAATTTAAGTGCATATATAATTTTATATTTAATACATTATAAAAATGGAAATACGCCACGATTTGACGATAAAGTGGAAATCAAAAATTCTCAATGGCGTTATCCTACCAGCACCTCAACACAAATGTATCAACCTTCCACTACCCGAGTACAAAAACTATACGATTTCATTATATAGAATATAAATAAGTATAAAACGACTACATAAATTAAAGACGAAAATCTTCACACAGCCATACTTCTTATATATAAATAAATAACATAGAGGGTAAAATCTACATAGTTACGATATTATTTTTGGTTACCGATATCTGTGGAAAATAAATAATCGATCGAGGTTTCCTTTCCGATGGGCTCTTATTGGTACTAGAGGAACGTTTCTTTACATATTTTAAGTAAACACTATCAGGCTTAGACTGTTCAAAGGTGGACAAGTGGGGCACTAGTTTCCGGGACGACCGCACGCGCGCTGTCGAGTCCTTAATTATCACTCAGCACTTCATTTCGTCTGTGAAACGTTTTATATGAATTCAACGTTTTCTGTCTGTCAATATTGGCACTACAATACACTGTTACCGATATATATGAGATACCGTCTATAGATAGATTTTGAAACGTATCGTTTGGTGCGCGAGTGCGGGCGCTTTATAGCAAAATGCAGAGACGTCGGGACAGTCTTCATTCTGACTCCTCTTCGTTGTCCTCGTCGAAGCCGGTGAGGTCCGCCGATTCTAAGTAGCCGTGCATTACCTGGAAACATATTATTTTTTATGTGAATAAATACATACTTATTTCCCACAAATATAATTAAAATAAACAATATATATTTTTATAAGTACATTAGATTAAAAACTCATTACCAATAACTGGTACAAATAATAAAAAATATAATATTAAGCTGACTATGATCCATACAGAATATAAAGAACTGTCTGAATATTGTAATTATGTTAATAATTTTATAATGATATATAACTTGTTATGATATCCCTTTACGAATAAAATGCAATATTTTTAAATTCTAATTCATATCTTTTGTTAATGGCTTTAAAATGTGCTAATTGAGTGCAGATGACTTCACCAATTTTAATATTTTTAAATTAATTAAAAAGAAATAATAAACAATATATGAAATGTAACAAAACATACAGCCATGTACACATGTATGTATACGTACCGCGTACTCGAGCAGCGCCAGATGGCAGAAGACGTACTGGTCGGGCATCTGTATGGAGTGCGCGCGCTGCTGGCGGATGCGCTCCACCGCGCCGCGCACGTCCGCCACGCCCTCCGCCGCCAGCCGCGACGTGCACGTGTCCAGCGTCAGGAACGTGCCTGCGCGCACACACACACACATGCTTCGTTAAGGTGTCTGCCCACTACACCGTAACCATGACCGTGCTAGGACCGTGTCAGGCAAAAAAATATTCATTGTATCGAAAAGTGTGAGACTCTGCCCATTAGACCGTTCCGTCACCGGACATCGCGTGCCGTGCACGGAGCGTTAACAATTGTTGGCGAAAATTTTTCGCCGGTGCCGGTACGTGCCTGGCACGCGACGTCGCGGGAGCGGTGCCCGCGTGCGACGCAATTGTGAGCATACGCAGGACTAAAGCCGTTATGTACGGGTATGACACGCTGTTGATACGGTCTAGTGGGCATAGTAGTCGGTGCCATGCTCGTTTCCGTGCCTGATACGTTCATAACTCCGTTATGGTATGAGACGGTGTAGTAGGCTATAAATATAAATGGATATAACAATATCCTAACAATTGACTGAAGTGACGGACGCTAAAGAAAAAAATATCTATAAAAGGAAAAAAACACTACTATTATACAACAGAATATAGATAATCGAATTTATATGTGGAAAAATGTATACCTGTTCTTCCAATGCCAGCGGAGCAGTGGACCACGATGGGGGGGCCTCTGCTGTGGCCCGCCCACGCATCGCCTAATCTAAAAATTAAATTTATTATTATTACTTCATTATTTGAATTATTTATTTATAGATCGGATAAATTGGCAACAAAATCAAATTATTAAACGTGGACAACGGTTTTAAAAAAAAAACGGGAATGCACATAAATAATTAGGTCTCAGATCAATCATATTTAAAATATTGGCGTGACGTTTAGTACGCAAAAAGGTGATCATAACATAGGCATAATTACACCTAGTTTTTAAGATTTAAAAGAATATATTTCTTAAAGCAAAACAAACTCCTAATGAATATTATCTCATTAATAAACGCATTTAGTGTTAAATAAAACTTTATTAATTTTAATACGTATTATAATTAATAAAGAGTATATAATTAAGGATGTATACGTTTAAATATGGCCACTTTAACAGCATAGAATACACATTTTAAAAGATATCATTTATTTATATATGTACATATGTATATAATGCATTCAGCCCTTTTTAACGTCCCACTGCTGGTTACGGGCCGCCCTTCAGTACGAGGGGGATCAGGTCATAGTTCACCACGCTGGCCAAGTGCGGGTTGGCGGTTTCACATGTCTTTCAAAAACTTACTAAGTTTTTTCAGACATGGAGGTTTCCTCACGATGTTTTCCTTCACCGTAAGGCAAGTGAAGTGTATGTAAGAAAAAAAGCTTTGTGTTAAAAATATAGAAGAACTGTTCGATACTGACTCGTGCCTGGCGCGCTGCTGCGCGCGGCGCACGAGCTCCAGGAAGCGCAGCACGGGCGCGGCGCGGCCGCCGCCCGGCACGCCGTAGTCCGGCCAGCGCGTGTACTGGCCGTGCCACACGCGCCGCCGCTGCTCCGTCTGATACACGAACACGCAAATCAATCACTCAAGCTTCAATACTTTCTTAGATTTACGCTAATATTTGACATTTTAAATAAAACTATCTTTTCATATTTTTTCGCGAATTTATTTTGACTTTCGATTCCCGACATTTCGAATCAGTCGGGAACCCCAAATCACAATAAATTCGCGAAAAAATACAAAAAAATGGATTTATTTAAAACAGTCAAGCTTTGTTATATCCATACTAATATTATATATGTAAAAGTGTGTTAGTTTGTTTGTCTTTCTTTCACATCGAAACGGAGTGACGGATTAGCGTGATTTTATTGTGTATTTTTTTTTGTGACTTTTTACCACAGGAGGTTATCTCATTCCCAAGGGAAAACACGTTTTAATGATGATGTTCTCCTAGCCGATTCCGGCCACGGCGGCCAATCTCAATGAGATTAGCCAACTGCGCAGGAGATATTATAGTGCTCAAGTGTACGCGCAGACACAACGTGCACTCTCTATTCCTGTCACTCTCATACTCCGGTGGGACGACCACTCGACACGACCGGTGTGAGTTAAGGCGCAGGACCGACTGCTTTACGTGCTCTCCGAGGCACGGGGGTGAACCCGCCAACTTCCTAACTCCGGGCTGTTACTGAGACTTACTATACAGGAAGACTCAATAACTAAACTTGGCCCGACCCGGGACTCGAACCCAGGACCTCCGGGTGTGCAGCCGTACATGCTAGCCTTACTACTAACTTAATAAAAATATTTATGATCAGAATTACTTGAAACTTGGTATTAATGTTCTTCAATATAATTAAATAAATACCTGTTTTACCGTTTTTAGAAATTCATCAGGGAGTAAATAGGGTTTTTCGAAATTCATTAGGGGATATAAGGGGGTAAATCACGTCTCATCTCTTAAAACAGTAAGCAATAGATACGAATCAAAAAATGACCTCGACAACCTCATTAAATAAAACAAAGGACATTTTTTATGAGTATAAAACTAGCGCTGGGCTCGAGTTCTTGGGTGCTCAACACTTAGTGTTAGCCTATCTGTGTACTAAATTTCATCCAAATCCGTCCAGCCGTTTTAGCATGAAGGACTAAGGAGTAACAACTATATATACGGGGCATTGCACGTGAAGCAGACAACGAAAAAAAAGTGAGGTTCTGAAATTCGTTTATGTTAGGCATATTTGTACCTTTAGGGGATATGATCATGTACACATAATATTATTATTTTTTGTGGTTTAGGTGTCAAGTTATAGAATTCCAAAGAATTGATCAAATTGAAAAAACGGTATTTTTGTATTCTTTTTTCATATTCAAGTAACTAGAAATAAAACAATAAATATAGTGTTCTGGATAGAAAATTTACTGTGTACTTCGTTTTCGTCGACCGTTTCACGTGAAATGCAACACTCGGCGTGACAAGTTCAACAAGACGGAGACAACGAGTGTATGTATACCCGGAGGTCGGTGAGCAGGAGGTGCGACACGACGTAGTCGTCGTGCTGGTCGTGCGCCTCGTTGAGCACGGCGAGGCCGGCGTGCTCGGCGCGCGCGCCCGGCGCCGGCCAGTACTGCCCGCACTTCACGCGGCCGCGCTCCACCGTGCGCGTCGTCATCACTATCACCAGGCTGTTCTGCTCCCACACCATGCGCCAGAAGTCGCCGAACGTTTTCGGCAGTGGACCTGCACAATTATTAAAAATATAAATGTGTTGGAACGTTAACACATAGCACCGTCTAGTTCCATGGTAAGCCAAGAGGCTTGTGTTATGGATCAGAGATCATGTTTGCCCTATCTGTTGTAACGATCTCGTTGTATTGACATTCGAAATACCGGAAATCAAAATAAAACCGCGACAAAATCCGAATAAATATTTTTTATTTGAAAATATTATTCTTTTACTTTAACACATATTTATGAATTTCTATAACAAGTATTATAAGCACCCAATTTCCATTATTATCTTATATACTCAAACATTGTAAGCAAAACAAAACGCTGTGTTTAAAACTGTGTCATATTTTTACTCGGATTTTCAACATTTTACAGTATTCAAAATGGTAGTCATAAAATATCGTATACGTAACAATGACCAACTTTCCCCAAACGCTCTACAAACTCTCGAAAACATGGCAGTGGGCCAAATATTGAAAATGGTCAAACAATAAGCATCGTAGAACAAACGGCCAACTTCGACATTCGCGCAATAACTGGGAAAGGCTATTTCAGTAGACGAGGCGTGGGCGAAGCGGAAATGCCGCGTGGGCGAAGCGTTCGAGCGATGAGGTAGAAACTCTGCCCTTCCGGGAAATACACGTTCAATATGCGAAATTTCCGAGAAAATATAATTACATTCTCACTTCAACTATTTGCGTTTGACGTAATATGTTTTGCAGTAAGTAGTTGTTTACTAGAATTGCTATATGTGAACTTTGGCCTTTATTATATTAAAATTTTAAATTGCACATATCAAAAACATATTTTAACGAAAAGCAAAAAATAATAAAATATATAAGTTAAAATTTACGTATTTTATATATTTTATTATAAGAAGAATCATACGTAAACAACTTCTTGTATATAAACATGTCATCGTTGCATCTCTCTCACAACAATGATGATGATGATGTTCTCCTAGCCGATTCCGGCCACGGCGGCCAATCTCAATGAGATTAGCCAACTGCGCAGGAGATATTATAGTGCTCAAGTGTACGCGCAGACACAACGTGCACTCTCTATTCCTATCACTCTCATACTCCGGTGGGACGACTGCTCGACACGACCGGTGAGAGTGTCGGCGCAGGACCGACGGCTTTACGTGCTCTCCGAGGCACGGGGGTGAAACACCGCCAACTTCCCAACTCCGGGCTGTTACTGAGACTTACTATACAGGAAGACTCAATAACTAAACTTGGCCCGACCCGGGACTCGAACCCAGGACCTCCGGGTGTGCAGCCGTACATGCTAGCCACTACACCACCGAGGCAGTTAAATACTCACAACAATATTACACTTCCTAACATCATCAATTGAAATAAGAATTAGCCGTTTAAAATCCACAATTATATTATTCAATTCATCGAAATGACATTAAAATATCTTATTAAATTATTATTTAAATAATTATTTATTTTGCTCAGATCTTTAAAACTACGCAACGGATTTTGATGCGGTTTTTTTAATAGATAGAGTAATTCAAGAGGAAGGTTTATATGTAATACATGCATATTATAATACAAAAAAGCCGAGAAATTCAAAGATTTGTATTTCATACTAACCGTTAAAACATACCTAGGGACGAACCCGAGCGAAGCAAGGGTGAGTCGCTAGTATTAATTAATCGTATCTCACAACATGCATGTGTACCTTGCGTGCATATGAACGCATTCCGCTGCTTGTACCCGTCCACGTAGTTCGCGTTGATGTAGTCGGAGGCGGGGTCGTCGTCGCGCAGCGACAGCGGCACGCGCGAGTGGTCGTAGCACAGCACGTCCGTGTATCTGTTCTTTGCGAGGTTGCTCGGCAACCTGCCGGGGATAGTGTAATACAAATATACTATAGACACAGCATGAAAAACCATACAGTAGGCTTTCGATATTGATTATATAGAAAATGCTACTAAATGCAAGAGTGGTCTAAATTATCAATTTTCACGGCGAACGGTTTTAAAGTTAAATCTCTGTACAAAGTACAGTTATATCCGTCAACCCTAAAGCTGTTTATCAATTGCCATAAAAAATACGTACAACAGCCTGGTGCGCCTCACCCGCGTCGTACTACGCAAGCCCCGTATGATTGGCCTGTCTTAATGGCTTCGTTAGACGACAGGAATGTACATGACATTTAATTAAGAAAATACATAGCTTGCATGTCAAGCAATGGTACTTACGTATGCGCAAGTAAATGGTAAACTGTTAATATTAGTGTATATTTATAGATTAAATTTATAGATTAGGCAGGCAATAGTAGCTCACTTCGGAAACCGACTGAAGCTAGTTCAAATCACTTGGCCAGCGTGGTGGTGTATGGCCTAATTCTCCTCGTACTGAAGGGAGGTCCGCGCCCAGCAGTGGGACGTCAAATAGGGCTGATACATACATATACACATGAATAGATTCCAGATGTCGGCACTCACTTGGCATGATGGAAGGTGCCGTTGGGCGGGCGCGCGCGGATCTCCTCGTACTCGGCGACGAGGCCGCGGCGGCCGAGCGCGCGCACGCGCGCCAGCAGCGCGGCCGGCGTCTCGCCCGCGCCGCCGCCGCCGCACTCCTCGTCCGACAGCCCCGGCGACGCCTCGCCCGACGACCACGTGCCGCGGGCTGTACACGCACACGCACCACCTTTGTTATTATATTATTTAGAGCCAATAACGTTTTATTGTTATTAACCTTTTATATTATAGACAACGACTCACCCTCGCTTCGCTCGCGTTCGTCCCTAAGTACCTTTTATTTTTTTGAGCGGAACCCTAATTCTTTTTCTAAAATTAAAGTAGCTTACGTTACTCCCTAAAACATCAGATATCTCCCAGTGAATGTCCCGTCAAAATCAGTCCAGCCGTTTTAGAGATTATCCGGAACAAACAGACAGACAGATAAAAATAAAAAAAAAATGTGTTTTTCTTATAAGTAGGTACCGTATATAATTTCATATGCATTTAGTAAAACGCAGTTATTTTGACATTACAAACAGACACTTCAATTTTATTTATCTGTATAGAAAGTATAGGTTTATTTAAAACGACACATATTCGCGTAAATCTAAAAAGAATGAAATAATACCAAAAAAAATATAATTTAAAAAAACATGCTTTGACGAATTGAAATGTATGGGATTTGTCAAAACCAATCATATAAATGCAAACTCTAGGGGTTCACTCGTATCCACCGAATAGTTTTTCTATGCACCTCCTGCCTCCATCATCATGCATAAGTAAAACAAAATTAAATTCAATATTATATAAACATACATACATGCATAAATACAAATATTATATATTAAAAATACTGCATAAACATTTGAGATAGAGATAAAGATATTATATTTCACAAGTATACGCGCAAGTGAACCCTGTACTACTAAGTATTCGCTTTTCGACACGACCAGTGAGAGTTAAGGCTTGGGACTGGTGCTCTCTGAGGCACGCGGGTGAAACAGCTTCAACTTCCCAACTCCGTGCTGTTACTGAGAATTTCTTGACAGAAATACTCAATAACTTAGATCGACATGCGTCTCGAACCTAGGACCTCCGGAGCTGCGGCCATACGTGCTAACCACTACACCACAGTATAATATACTAGCGACTTACGATGCTGCATAACAGTACCCTATATATTACTCCAAGTTATCTTATGTGTTCTAAATATCATTCGTCATTTCAACGTGAAGGAGTTACAAACGTACACAAATACAAACTTTCGCATTTATAATAGTAAGTCAAATTTTGGGTGTCCCCATATGGTAAGACGTGGCGTATTATGTTTTATTTGGAGTGGTTCCGAGGTCGGCAATAGCTACGTCGATCAGATATGGTCCATTATAGAACACGTGGCGAAAGTGACAAAGAAAAAGACATCACAACTGTATGGATACTTTCTCGGGAGCTCTAAGTAAAATAAGGAATTTTCAGGTGAATAATGCTCATTGCTCATGTCACCGAATTAAGGGGGGGATATTTAAAATATATATATTTTTATGTTTTAAATAACATCTTAAAAAGTACCTTCAATCATAACAAAATAATAAAATGTATATTTTATATGTATTGTGTATACGGCTTGCTTTAATCATATAATATACATACAAGAATTAATCAAGGAAACAAATAATAAAATAATATAGTATAATACAAAACAACAAAAACATCAACTTTGTAACGATTATAAAATATATAAACAACAAGTATATAAGTAGTAAACAATACTAGGACTTAATGTTTTAGTTATAGATACAAATAAATGTGTATAAAATGAAGATTATATAATTTATTATATCGCAATTTAAGTCAAATTTGTCTATGATTTTCTTTTTTTAGCATATCATGAAAAAGAAACTTAAAATACGCGAAAACATCAGAGTATTTAGTTGTTTTTAATTATGCATAAAAAGTATCCATTTATGACATACGTGATTAATAATTTATTGAAAAAGTATAATTTTATTACGATCGCGAACGGAGTTGTAGAATCTAGTGCCGTATCTAATACGTGTACATGTAAAATTTATAAAGCACAAAATCAATACGCTGTACATTTCTTGTTCGCACACTATACCACATGTATTTGTACGTGGATATACGTAATATGAAATTCTCAGAGCAACTAACGTTTTTATAGTTACCATAAAAGTTGTATATGAGGAAAAGTAATATTTGCAATATGCATGTATTTATTACATTTAATTACACTATGTAGATTGTAGGTACATTGTACGTGGTGTAATTAAATTTCATATGAATGAGTGCTAAATTTCAGTTTTAAAAATCATACATTTTATCCTGTAAAGAAATTGTAATGAAATATTAGTTATTTAAACAAAAATTTATTTTAAACAAAAACGCTTTTTCAAAAATAATTGTTATATATTTAAAAAATATATATAACAACAAATAAAAGTTTTTAGTAGTTTATGATATACGTATATATATGAATTAAACCATGTCATCAGAGAGCCAAAAAACCTAACAAAAGTACATTGATAAAAAAATTACCCGCTTTTGATTTTTTATATTTATTGTTACCGCACCCCATTCACATTACATAAAATAAGATTATTCGAATAATTTGACCACATACCCACTTCAAATTTTTCTGAATTCATATATTGTGTTTTTAACTATTATAAAAAAACATATAAAATATATATCGAAATATCAACAATGGTGATGATAACGTCATAAATGACATATTATAATTGACACATGCCTATTTAAAAAAAGGTTTAATTTACGTATTTTCTTGAAATGTCAGTCTTCATAGTGTACTTGTACGTGATATTTTAGCAAATTTTAGGTGACAACCCCTCTGGGTCGTGTTTGTTAATATGTTTTATGGTTTAAAAAAATAATCTGGAAAAAGAGTGAGGGGTACACTATATACTCGTAGATTGGGATCTAAGACTGTTTTATTCCACACGCTTTCTTGATGAATTGTAGGTACACAACGAACAGTAACAACTAGGGAAGCTGTAAATCAAACGAAATTAATTACTTACTTATTAAATCTAAGTCATCCTCGTCCGAATGTATGTGCGCGGCCTTCATGTCGCCATTATAGCCGTGTGTGTGTCTGCAAGTAAACAAAGACATTAAAAATAAAACATATTTTAAAACACATTACCCCACAAATTATAATATACCCATTAGAATCCAAGACTAGTATTTACGATTCATAAATTATAACAAAATCGAATATATTTATTTATCATATACTGCGGGTATAACTTTTATACATAAGAATTCGTTGTGAACTGAAACTCGCGGATTATTTGTATCGCGTGTGGCATTGAGTTTACGGCGTTTAGTGTTAACGAGGCCCGTCGTAAACACAACTATTAAGGTGCCTATGACGTTTTTTAAATAATCTCCTTAAATTAGCTAATATATATAAAATGTACTAGTTTGACAACTTGTTATTCATATCAAACGGGGTGAATACCGTGACATAGTTCATGTCCCAATTATGGGTGGCAGTACCGCTAAAAAAATACTGAGATAAAAAAATAATAATATTGTTTACATTTAAATACGTAATATTTAAGTAATTATGAGACTATCTTGCATTAAGAGGAAGTTTAAGTTATCTCATAAATTACGTTTTCTGGAGAAGCGGTAGCTAAGCGTGCATGGAAAGCTTGAGAAAATCTTAAGAGAACGTACTTAAGTACGCTTTAAAAGGCTTTTTAAAAAGCCTTTTATATTTTTGCATATTTAAAAAAAGTTAAAAATATCATTTTACATTTTTATCGTTAATATATTTGGTAAACAATATATAATACATATATATTTATATATCTACATAGGCCGCTCGTAGTTCTCTTATATAATAGAATTATCGCATTGCTAGTTTCGTTTAAAGCGACTTTAACATAGTAGATGCAACAAACAACTTTCAGAGATTCATTTTTACTTAAATCTTGTTTAGTTTGTTATTATTCATAACGTTCTTCTGCTATTTACTTAGAACAAACTTTATAACAAGTTCAAGTTAGATTAAATGACTGTGCGAGATAATTATATTGTGCAGGTACGAGTAAATTGTATAACCCCCCTGACAATTTATCGCATGCAAGTATTTATAGCTCACCTAAGCGGGCTGGGGTCGCACGTGTAGGGCGGGTCGCCGCTTATATGCATGATGTCAGAACCGTTGTCGAGGCGCTCACTGCTCATGTCACACGGCTCCTCCGCATCTATTATACCTAATGAAGATTTTACACGTGCACCAATTATATTAAAATACTAGCGTCTCACTAGTTCGTCCCTAGGTATGTTTTAATTTTTTTTGAGCGGAACCCTAATTCTTTTTCTAAAATAATAGTAGCCTATGTTACTCCCTATAATATCAGCTATAATTTAGTGAAAGTCCCGTCAAAATCAGTCCAGTCGTTTCAGAGATTATCCGGAACAAACAAACAGACAGACCTACAGACAAAAATTTTAAAAATTGTGTTTTTCTTATAAGTACCGTATATAATTTCATATGCACTTAGTAAAATGCTGTTATTTTGACATTACAAACAGACACTTCAATTTTATTTATCTGTATAGATAATAATTGGAAGATATGTAGGGTAAATACGTAGGTATTTATTATGGTTTTGTAAGTTCTGTTAACATATAAAAAAAATTAAAAGAATATTTTTTTTTATTAAAAAAGATATATTTTTCCTATGCATTGCAATATTTTATTAAATATTAAAAACAATAAAGAGAATATATAGGTATTTTTATTTTTAGAAAACATTCGTTGAAACGTTTTGTGACGATATTTTCTTGCCAAATGAGTTGTAGTGGAAAGTATTAGAAAAGGTGCCAATAAATAACAAACATACACACATATATCGATTATGTTACAAAATGACATTCATCGTCCATCTGTCGACACCTTTTCCATTTATTAGGATTTATTAGTCACACAAAACTAAGACGTTACAAAATATATTAAATCTATTTAAGTTTATAAAAAGTATACTAATGCTTTAAAATTAAACTTCAATCTAATATCATCTTCCTTTTTATCACTACTATTTCATATTATATTTACAATTTAAAGTTTCATATACACAGTACACACACGTGTAACATTTGCGCGATACATAGTCCTCTGTATGAATGAATTCTGAAAATAGTTGAATGTAATATTTAAATTAAAAACTTATGTTAAAATTATTAGTTTGAATAACTAAAACTTACCATTTTGCGTTTTGACCGGTGGTATGTGATTGCTTATTACATAGTCGTCTATAACACCGTCCAACTTTGTGTTCAGATTATTCGTGTAGCAGTTTCGGCAATGCTCCAACCTAGAAGTTATTCTAATCTTAAAATCTAACATAAAACATACCAGCGTGCTTTAAAAACACTGTTGTTACATTTAAAAATATTTCAGTGTATTTATTCCTATAGATGAACTAAATATAATATTTTTTTAGAAGAAAGGCAGTAGTATTTTAATGGTACCTATTAATACATATATGTGTGTTCTTGTAGAAAATTTTATAAATTGCATAAAGTAAAATTTTTAATCGATATGTCACTCAATATTTTTAGTCATGTTATTTTTTTATATTACAAAATTTCTAATATTAGACTGTCTGTTATGATGCCGATAATCACGCCATCTAATTAAATGTAGAGGTCAAAGCTAAAGTCAAAGGTAAAGCAGTTTCTGCGGTGCTTCAGTTTAGCGAGTTAATCAGAGTTCGTAATGTTATTATTATTATTTCTAATCTACTCTTGCTAATGAATTGGGTTAAAAGTCATCCCTTTTAAAGTTCTTTTTTTAGGATCCCGTAGGTTTTTAAGATATGAAATATTTTCGGTTAACACACTGTTAGTTGAACAGCTACAAAGTTTCTTTTTCAAAGTATCTTAAAGATTACACTATGAAATACAAATAGGTACTATATACTATACTAATATTAAAAATTAATACGTAAATATTTAAATTTACTTCTATTCTAAAAAATTACGTACATAAGTTAAATAATAACACAAATGAAATTATGAATTGTACGTGGTCGATGTAAATATGATTGAAAGTAAAACATACCTAAATGTCGTTTTATTTTATGCGCGACTTTAAATATATTTACTATGTATGTATGTAGGTAAGAGAATCGAGCAGCCAGGTCACCTCTGGGAAGAAAATTATCGACAAGGCTTTTCTATTTAGCTATGCTAAAATTAACTCGTTACAGGGCGTAAGATTAGGGTCTGCAGAGAAGATTATTACTCTAATTAGGTGAGTTCTGAGAGGCGGCGATTATGAAATTATGTTTTCGTTCATTTTATAAGGATTAAATTAATAATTAAAAAATGTTTTTATAACAAATATAATTTAACATGGCATCATAAGATAAGATTTAAAAATTGCATTTAGGTTAAACAAGTGAGGAAGATACAAATGAGAGCACACTAGCTTTGATAGTTTAAAAGCCATTACCACTACTTTACCTAAATGAATGTTTTATCTCAAATATGTGCGCAGTGTTCTAAATAACATGGGGTTAAAAAGAGAAAATTATTATTTAAAAAGTATGAAGTAGGATGATACCTATTCATTTTCACAGTTTGTTCGTGGTTGTAGAACAAATGTGTAAATTATTAGGTATCCTATAAGGACAAAAGAAGGCCTTGCAAACGGAAATTAACAGTCTTATCCACACATAAAACACGCTTGATACAAGATGTTTCTTAATACTATTAATAGTTTGGAGAAAGTTGAGTATTACATCCTATATCCTCTTGTTTTTGGATAAAAAAGTCACACTTATCTAACATCTCGTTCTATTTAATCATTTACTTACCACGCAGCGTGGTCTGGTTCCAGCTGCCCACCAAGCTGCCGAGGCAAGCTAGCACGTGGAATATGTACTCCGAGCTGTGGGGCGCTTACTGTATGCACGCGCTCACGTAATTTTTCCCGCACAAACAAGCGTAAAATTCGGAATGGCGCCTTAAACCACAATGGAGCCGTCACTATTAACACCTTCTTTAATTTGGCCGGGTAACCTCCCTGAAACAATGACAAACTGCCGTTAAATATTTATGTTGCTGATAATGAGAAAAGGGTTGTATGTCAGGGCTGTATACACGAGAAATAATTTATACCTTTGCGTACTTATTACATGAAGACCGTGCGACACTAACGGAAAGGTTACAGTAACACTGAACGACTTTGTTTGACGTAATGTTTTTATTACAAGATTTCTTTCACTGATTTAGCGATTTTCATATAAGGTCGAGGTTTTGGAGGTTTCGTATATTGTAATAAACACCAAACAAACAAAATAAAAATTTTGCATACATTTTTTCATTTTCTTACTTGTTAATGCTTTTAGATTATAATTATTTACACTTATACTGGCGATGTGTTCATGGTACTTTTAATTAGCAACTTGACAGGAGGCAACTTGATAGTAACTTCAAAAATTATACTTATATATAAACTTTCATAACGTGATAATTTTTTAAAATACTTCTTTAGTCTTCGCATTACAAATCACTAAACCTTGAGACCAAAACCGACGGCATTGGCTGGTCATTAATGAATATTAGATTCTCGTTAAATAAATCGATTATACCTACTTATTTTACGTTTACAAGGTTCCGTAAGCGGAGGGTCGGAACGGAACGGATTAGAAGAGATATAATACAGGTTTTAAGTCATATTAGTTGACCGGTTGATTGTAACCTAATACGTTTACTTTTGCAGATAGTGTAATAAATGATAAAAAAAAATTTGGAATTATTATCATTTTTGCTCTATCATAAAAACGGTACAAAAATAAAGAGACAAACTGTGAGTATGATTGAAATTGTTTAAGTGCGAAACAGACTCGCGGTTGAGGTATAAACTCCATTTCAATATCAAAAAAATCTATGTATGTTATTCTAGGTATAAAGCCCTCGGTACGCGTGTCCAATTGGCACTTGACCTGATTTTCGTAAACCACGTAAGCGAAAGCAAAGTACTTAATAAAACCGATTTGATATAGACATAATAACGTCGAACAGCAAATTTAGAATGATGAATTAGATAACCATTGTTATTCTCACTAAAATTTACGAGTGCGGGACTTTATCTGTCGATTTGCCTTTTATTTCACGCAGTAACAAAACGTCGATTTATTATTTTACCAATTACCTACTGCTACTTATATTATGAAATATATTATAACTTGGGACATAAATATTATATTTGAAACTCAAAGCAGTACAAACATTTCTAAAAATACTTTGAATTTTAAATTATGCACGAAACATATCATTTCTATTCTTGATTTAATCGAAATTTAACAAAACCAAAAGTAACCATAGTACGTACTCGTATGTAACTAACGTTATAGGTTCGATTCACGAATTTCTATATGATAAGTTGTTTTTATTACCAATGTAGACAGTTTTGTTTTCTTAAGCTTGAAAAATAATCTCAGTCGAACGGAAGGAAGGATGCCTTAAATCTTTATTTTTGTGGCTGAATTATGTTCAAATTATTTTTCTTTCAGAACGAAGTTAAATAATGTTCGATATGTAGCTTGGAAGCAAAATAAATATTTTAAAAAGAAAAGTTATATACGAAGATACTTTCTAACATAAATATTATAGGCACGTTTTATGAACATTAGCATGTGCTCATAGTTAATGCGAAACATAGCTCTAAGCCGCAATCGTCTCGTATTTTACTTTCGCTACCACTAAGCTACCATGAAAATTGGTGGCTGCCATGATTCTTCATGTTAATTATCACCTACGTTAATATTCATTAAATTATAGTCTATATATAAACTTTAGTAAAAAATATGGCGACAGTCAGATTTAATCTATACATATAATAAAATTCTAACTAAGCCGAATCTGTACATTAAATATTTTTTGGAAAATCTTATTGAAATAAACATTATTATCGATACAGAGGCCGAATCTATAGTTTTCAGATTTTTTGTCTGTTACCGCATTATGAGAAAATTACTGGACAGATTTTGATGAAATTTGGTATGGTGATAGCTGGTTATCCGGGTCAAAATATAGGACACTTTTTACCGCGGGAAAATATCTCATTTTTGAGAAAAAATACAAAACTGCAATGTAAGAGTACACTAATTGTAAAACCTAAGAATGTGGTTTTTGGTATTATAAATTGTAATTATAAATTCTTATACGTTGATACTGGTCTATCTGTATACATATTTGGTAAAAAATATATATAGGCTTTAGTCTTTAACTGATTAAATTAGAGTCAATTTAAAACTTTTCTTTGATTTTATTACGATACGACAAATATACAGCCCAAAATTTATAAATAATTTCGAGTAAAGCATACAAACAGAATCTTATAAATATTCACTTTCAACCGACAATTGTAAATCGACGGAGGGTAAAATACAAAAATATACAAACTTTTTTTTGAACACGACAAATCTACCCCAGTGAAGTCTACGTTACGTCACTGTCATGTAGCTTTTAGCGTGTAAAGTTAAAAGGACATAGAATAAAATTAAATAGACATAAATTTTCAAAGTGCCAACCTTACTTAAACCTGACTGCGCATATTTTAAATCTCCATGTTCTCAATTTTAATAAAACTCTTGAATTTTACTATTAGCAGCATATTAAAAACTGTACATTTAATTTACTTACACACATTTTAATATACCCGAATAATATAATCACTTTTTTAATTGAGCATTTGATTTTCTAAAGTCAGTTCAATCTACAGTGCGTGATGCGTGACCGATTCACTGATACGACTTGGAAATCATGCAAATATAATTTACGTAACGAAAATTATTACCTAATACCTGACTTTCATAAAACCGTTGGCTAGTTATTTATACAAATATGTATATATAACTACATCATGCACATATATGTACCTACATATACACAAAACATGTATATGTACATATATGTGTTAAAACATTACTATTGCTACTACTATTCTTTGTTCATTTAACTCAAAATCTTGTTAATATTATTCAACCCTATAGTGTAGTGAACAATAATTGTAGACGTATCTATGTATATAACTATATACATTTAACATTTTGTATGCCTAATTCCGAATTCTAAGAGCATTAGCATTGAATAAGGTAACACAAGACGAGATAAGTTTAGTTTGATATAGGGGATAGGCAAGGTCAATAAAATGGAATGTATCCGAGAAACCTAGGGTGAGACAGGCTCGGGATGTTTAAGTAGGGGTGCCGGGTCACCGACCTCACTTTTAAGCTTTGCTCTCAGTATGAAATATTAAATGTCTGCTGACTCCATATTTACAAAGCATATTTGAATGTTAGACGAAGTAATAAATTAAAAAAAAATACTTATATCAAAACATTCATATTATAATATGTATGAGTAAATTAAATATATTAAAATGTTTCAAACATAGAAGTAATAAGAATAATAAAAACACAGACGATATATAATCGCTAAGTGCATTGGCCTAAGTCTTCCGTGTTGGGTTGTCTGCAGTCTAGACTTTAGACACCCTCAGTGAAGTTAACGATCGTATTAATTTAATTTAACTTATGTATATAAATACTATACCGCGGACTATTAAAGAACTACGGAACAGAAACCGATTATATTATTTCACAATCAACATGAGGTGATCGATTTTGCATAATAAAACATTTGCCCAATTCATTGAATTTTTCATATAATAATAATTGGAAATCGATTAATTAAATCAAAATATTTATCATAGCAAAGGCGCTAGACCTATGTCATCTTCTCAAAGCTCATTTGTATGTATGCTAACATGAAAGCTATATGAAATGAATTGTTGACATAATATTTGGGAGACGTTGTAAATAAGATAAACTTTTAGAATAGTCCATCGCCTTCTCCGCTCAAAGCTTGTTACTAGTGCTAAGTAGTCGTTGAGACCTTCTTGCCGTATTTTGTTTGTTACCTTCGAGATTATAGTTCGTAAGCGCGTTCACGATAAAAATTTAAAATAAGCCTCGCTTTTATTGAAGAAATATTATCCACCTAATAAGTACAGTGCATCTTTGAGAAATGCTACTCCAATGGTAGCAAAACGTTTATATTAGAATGTAGGAAATCGTGTTAAATTGAATTGGATCAGAGTCAAATGCAATACCGTGTTCGGAAATCTCGAGATATATTTGCTTTGAATTTCATGTTCAACAAAGTCCCTATGTGCCTCTATTTAAATAATCTCATTTGGAATTCCAGCGTCAGATGACTTTGTGACATGGTAATATTGCTTTTTAAAAATTGAGAAAGATTTTTCTTATAAAGTCGAAATTCCAGGTAAGAATCCAAAGGCAGAGAAAGAAAAAGGTACAATTTTAAGAGCAGAGTGCTCACAATCTCAAAAGGGGGTTGAACTTTAAATGCCCACATTCATTGAATCCAGTGGCAGCTGCGTTTCTATACAAAATGATGCTCTTCCGCCAACATTTATACCACACAAATGCATCAATTACTTGAACCTTAAAATATGGCATTCAAATGTGTAGTTTTATTTATTATTATAATTCATAATATTATATATTTTCATGTACTATTAATTTAACTATAAATAAATAAACAGAGTATATATAGTATAGATTCGGTATATAAATATATTCGGTATATAGTATATAAAACTATAGATTCGGCCTCTGTATCGATAATAATGTTTATTTCAATAAGATTTTCCAAAAAAATATTTAATGTACAGATTCGGCTTAGTTACAATTTTATTATATGTATAGATTTAAATTAAGAAGTAGGTATATATCACGAATTCTCGAGAAATGTACCTAATACTCATATGTCATACATCATAAAAATTAGGGATATATAGGTAGGAAGTTAACACAAATTTTGACCCTCTAGGTTTCTCTCTTATAAATAAATAATAATAATGCCCATTTTAACTTACCTGTATTTCATTAAATACGGAATTATAATTATTATGATTCATTCACGTGGCATCATACCTACAAGTTTTTTTAAGAGGCTACTTTTTATCATTATAATAAGTTAATATTCTCATAC